TGCTAGGCAACTTTTTGGCTATCTAGAATACGAAGGCCTACGAAAGTAAAACACACCCAATGGTGGCCAGCAGGAACATGATCTTGCTGTCCCAGCTCTCCCGCTCCTCGCCCTCCTTTTCGCCCTCGACGATGTCCTGCTGATCCGCGTTGGCCACCAACTCGGCCTTGGCCTTGGAGGTGCTCGCCTCCGATCCGAAGGGCGGCGGGTCCTGCTCCAGTTCCGAGGACTCGTCGAAGGCGTCGGACATGAAGCCCTGGTTGGTGGCCCCATAGAGCGGCTGGTGGTGGTGCAGCGATGTGTGATGGTGGTGGCTGACGCCATGTTCCTTCGTCACCAGGCGACCTCGCAGCTCCTGGGAAAAGTAATTCAGTTCAGATATGTTGTAAAAAAATACCTCTATATACGGTGGTGCCTACAAATCACTAGGATTCTGAAATCACTTTTAAATGCCATTTTTAGATCTCTAAAAGTATGATACTATATATGTATATTAATCTCAGAAATACAAAGAAAGGCGACTATTGTTTATTCACTGCATACTTTTAGACACCTAACATTTAAAAATGATTTTAAAACACCAGTGATTTTAGTAACATCCTCCATAGAAAACACTAAATAAATAATATTAAATCTTTAAGGATAGTAAAAAATGTAGAAGAATGTAAAAAATATTTAAATATATAAATTCAATCTAATCCCCTCGACTTACCCTCAATTCCAACTGATCGATGCTCTTCTGGCTTTTGAGCACTATATCCCGGGAGCTTTGGCGACGCAATAACTGAGCTGTGTTGGCCATGATTGCGTTTTATTATTATTTCGACTTATTACAAACTTTTATATGTGTGCGTGTGGGTGCTGTGTGGGTTTGTGTGTGTGCCCGTATGGGTGCCTAGTGTGCTCTATGTCACTTCCGTTTCCGTTTCTCCAAACTTTTGCTCTGCTTGTACTTTCCTCGGCGCCACCTGGTGTTGCGTTCAGGTAACTAGCAACTCACTGGACATTTTTCGTAGCATACTTTTATGGTTGGCTAAATAAATCGCATTTTAACCCCTTGTTGCTGTGCTTTTAGTTTTGGCTTAGCTGATTTCTGAATTTTTTTGTGGCTTTTACTGTGGTTTGGTGCTTTTGTTAGTGCTTAATTGCAGGTGATAACGGTGCATTAGTAGTAGACGCCATCGCAGTGCCGCTATCTGCTTTTTCCAAGTGAAATAGGTATTACTAAAAGTTGTATACAACTCGCATGCACAGAGAGAAATTAGTATTTAAATGTCTAGCTTGCAAAAGTCGTGGACAATTCCCATTCATGATAATAATAAGTTAGATAGGGAAATTATGAAAAACGAGGTTGAAGAATTTTCTGGTACTAATATTATTATTTAATATTATATTTTGTTTAATTTTATAATTCAATAAAAAAGAAAACATGAAATAAAGTAAGAACAATTTATTACGGATTTAAGGACTTGTTAAGGCTTTAAGAATATTATTAAATTAATGCATTTTGTTCAGTTTTATAGTACTTATTACTTAAATCAAATACCTTAAAACGTTAAAACATAAAAGACTTATTTTTCTTTACGAAAAATTGTTCTTAATTTTTAAATCTATTCAATAAGATACTAATAAAATTTATAAAACAAATGCAAATTTCCTTGATCAATCCATTTAGTATTTAAAATAACCGAAAAAACCGACGTTAGAGTAAATAAGTTTTAGATAAAAAGTAAATGCAAAAAGATATCGAAAACTCAAAGTATTAAGTGTTCAATTATGATAGTAATCATTCAATATTGGTAGGGGGTATTTTTTCACGTGTGCTTTCCATCAATCAAATCATGCAAAAGAAAGGACCCACACACACTGGGACATCTATGGGGCTTGCGTGACTAGGTCCACACAATAAATCAATCAACTCTAAGTAACCCTTAACCCACATCTCCCCCCTGCACATTTTCCGCCCACTCACTAATGCAGTGTAATGGAATTAACTTTCTTTTTCGACCTGCAATTAGTCTAGGCTTAGTTTCCCAGGGCGATGGAGGTTATTTTCAAAAGAAGGTGGAGTGAAATTTGCTGCCATGGAGACCTACATTTTTACTCTATATTAGCATGCTTTTAGGGATAATTTTTGGAAGGAGCTTCGGCTTAAAACATTACTTTTTCTTGGCCTGTTTCAATGGCGGGGGAAATCGCGTTGATTGGGTTTGATTGTAAGCCTTTTTTGTGGCCCAACAAATTCTCACTTATATAACCGAAGAACACACTCGCGAAAAAAATGAAGTCGCACTAAAAAAAACAACGAAATAACGGTTAAGTCCGACCGATAACGGTGAAGGACCTGCAGGAGACTATTGTCCGAATATCCCTGGATTAACGGTTGCAGGTGGTTGCATTAAAACCTATTTAAAGACCGATTCCGTCGCTCCAATCGCTATCCCGTGATTCTGATTGGAATAACGTAACGGTGTGTCGTAACGGGACGTTGGCAGGAAACTGTTGAGCAGCAAAGGACGTAATACCCGAATGGCAGGACGAAAAGGATAACGGTTAACGGGAGGCGATAAAACGGGAGCAAACGGGAGAGCAAAAACGAAAAGAGCAGCGCAGACGCAGCATCACATCGCATGGGTGCGAGCGAGACGGAGAAGCGCGAATCCGAGCGAGAGGGAAGATGGTAAACAGTAGAGGGAGGAAAACAAGGCAACAAAAAAGCCAATTAACCAGCAAATTAGCTGTTATTTATGGCTTTTTTGTAATCCTTTAATGTATTCATTTTATTTACACCTTAAGCTAATTATTTGTTTTATCAATTTGATCAATAATTGGTATTTTATTCCACTTTTAAAATTTCATTCAATTACAACTGCCGTTAGCAAAAGGCGTTAGTGCCTTTTAAGCAGTTCGTTTTTCGCGTTAGTATTTTTGTATGAATGTGCTGCACAAAATCGGGGTAAGCTTTTCGATTAACTGAGTGTATACAGTGACTGCGAAACAAGTACATAAAGCATTGTGACTCAAAAACAATTTTTAATCTGTAAATGCACCATTTAAACCAGTATGCACCAAATGAATATGGAAATATTTAGCTTATATTATAAGTAATCGGAAAGTTTTTGTTATTATTTTTATGGCAAGATTTAAATGCGCAAATATATTTAATTATAAACAAATTTCTAAATCTAGCAAAGAAAAAAAATGTTAAGTATAAGAATTAAGTTTTAAATACTAAGTAATTATTAAATTTGCGATATATTATTAGTATATAGTTTAAGAAATGCAATCTAATTTGAGGATACCAATTTCGAACCAAACCGTGACAGCTCCCTGGTAAATATATGAGCATCTCTAGAATGAACTGGCGGTGAACTAGCCGCCAAATGAACACTTGTTGACAGAACCTCTCATAAATTGTTTATTATTTCGATAAGGGGTCTAGGAATTGCGTGGATTGAATGAGAAGATGGTTTTCAAGTGCCAGGAGGACAGTTTCCTGAAGCAGGTTGGTCCTCGAATAAATTCGAAACCGTTTAATTACATAATTTGTAACCTAATTTGCTGCAGTTCAAGACGAAAGTCGTCAGCAGCGAGTTTGCCACCTTGGATTGGACGGATCCCAGTGGAAAAGTCGAAAAACTAAAGGGCTTCAATGTGATCTGCGAGGATACGATATTATTTCCCGAGGGCGGTGGTCAGCCCTGCGATTACGGAACTCTGGGTGGATATTCCGTGAAGAATGTCCAGAGGAAGGGCACCACTGCTGTTCACTTTGTGGAGTCCCCCACGAGCTTTGAGCAGGATGCCGAGGTTCTTCAGACTCTGGACTTTCAGAGGAGGCTGGATCACATGCAACAGCACTCGGGACAGCACCTTATCACCGCCCTGTTCGACAGGGAGTTCAAGTACGATACCACCTCGTGGTCCCTGGGATCCAGTGTCTCCTACATCCAATTGAGTACACCTCATTTGATAAGTCGCGAATCACTGGACCTCATCGAACGGCAGGCCAACGATCTGATACGGGAGGGCCGTGAGGTTACGGTGGTACTGGTGGATCCCGAAGTGGCGCAGGAGTTCCAAGATGCCAGGGCCCCCAGGGGCTTGCCAAAGGATCACGAGGGCCTGGCCAGGGTGGTGCGCATCGAGGGCATCGAGAGCAACATGTGCTGCGGCACCCATGTCACGAATCTCTCCCAGTTGCAGTGCATCAAACTGCTCTACGCCGAGAAGGTGAAGACCAATGTCTTGGTTCACTTTGTCGTGGGCGAGAGGGTGCTCGGAAAACTGGGCGAGGTCTTCCAGCGCGAACAGCAGCTCACTCAGGCTTTGAAGTGAGTCTCTCTAGTATAGTTCCCATTTCATATTAGTCTATATCACCTTGGTTTCCAGAGGTGGTCCCGGCCAGCACTTGGAGCTTGTCCAGAAGCTTCAACAGAATGTGAAGGGCAATCGGAAATACTTCCAGCAGCTGCTTAAGGACTTTGCCACCGCCGAGGCCGAACGGCTGGAGGATCTGCCGAAGAAGGAGCGTCCCAAGTACTTCGCCCTCCATCGACGAGATGGCATCGAGGTGGACTTCATCAACACATTCTTGCGGGTGGCTCCCGAGGGTATCTTCTACTTCCTGACCGTTTCCGAGGGCGTTGCCGCCGGCAGCAGTGCCAAGGGACACCTGGTGCTGCGCGGAGATCCGGAGATTGTCGAGAAGCTCGGTCCCCAGTTCATGGAACTCCTCGAGGGCAAGGGCAATGGCAAGGAGGGCAGTTTTCAGGGCAAGATTAACAATCTGGCTGGACTGCAGGACTGCCATGAGCTGCTGGATGCGCAATTCAAGCCAAAGAAGATCGTTGAAGCCCCAAAGCCTGCAAATGGAGCTCCGCTGGAGAATGAGGAGTAAATCAGCTCGGTAGTGACCCATCCAATATACAACATTTGTATGGTATTAAAATAATATTCACGAATAAAAGTTGCCTATTTTTAAAGAACGAAAGAAAAGATAGTATCATAGTACCTTTACTAAAAACATACATATATTGGTATTTCCTCGAGGGACTTTAACAGTGAACATGGTATGAGGAAGAAGGGAGGGATCACAGGTAGTTGACATCGTAGTTGCGCATCTTCCATTTGAGTCGCCAGTACTGATTCCAGAAGCCCACGTCGATGATCCGCTCGTGGAAGTTGAGCAGGCCCACGGTTGTGTATTCGCAGATGGCCGGATATGTGCAGTCGTCCTCGTCGTAGAGATCCACCCAGAGGATGGTGCAAATGCCCAGCGATAGGAGTCGCAGTTTCTTCTGATTGATGGCCCTCTCCAGGGTTAGCAGGTAGTCGGCGGACACGGGATTCTGGAGTTCCGGCGGCACAGTGATCATCCGGTTTGTGGCTCCCCTCAGCAGGGTCATAAAGGCCTCGTCGTCGGGATTATTTAGACCGGCCTGGTAGAGGAACAGCATTCCGGTTCCATAGAGCAGGGCCTTTTTGGGTTTCGTGTAGGACTCGCGTACCACGCCGACCGCCACCTCTGAGTAGTCCCTGACCAGGCCGTTCCAGTACTGCACCCACTTCTCCACCACCGTGCCCTTGAAGCGCTCCGGCATCTGGATCCTGTCGGCCAATCTCTGGCGCAATGCCGTTATACGACCACCCACGCGGAGGAACTGCATCTCCTGGCGGGTTTTCAGTGATCAATTTGGAAAAAACCAGGTGGACTCGAAATCCCAGTGTTATGTTATCAAACGGAACAGCTGATTTGTTAGTATGACCGTGCGCGGTCAAGCAGTGCCGCCGATAACGATATATCGCAATAATATCCAGGAAATAATGAAAAATGGTTTTAAAAAATAGCAAATTAAATGCTGAGATCCGAAATGTAAAATCCTTCCAGTTTAAAAATATGTTTAATTCATCGCAATTGTCAGCCAAAACACTGACTTTTTTTGGGCGTAAAAATACGAATATCAAAAATATACGCAAAACAAAAATGTCAAGTTTTTCTCAAATACCATAAAATAAAATACTTCTCAACAAATTTAGCCTTTAAAAATTAACGTATTATTCCATGAACTCGGCTAATTTTAATTTTGTTTTTGGTATTCAGTTACTTCCAGACCAAGTAATTGTGGGAAGATTAATTATAATGTTTGCTTTGTTTTAGTGTGAAATCATTGTATTCGGGATGAATGTCATTTCGTCAGTTGGTCACACCGATAGGTTCGTATAACGCCTCCAAATATCGCGCTGCCAAGGCACCCGATAGGTTTTGAAAATATCGATAACCAAACATACAAATAATTGTTTTCATTGCGAATCGCCAGCGCTCTGTAAAACTTATGCATAAAACTCGCTAAAACGCAAATAAGGACAAGTAGAGCTGTTCAAAGAGAGAAGGTGGGCCAATCGAAACAACCAGGGCGTGCAAATCGAGATTGAGAGGCGTGGAATCCCCAGAAAGTGCGGTGTGAGCGTAAAATGCAATAGTCGCTGCCATGCCAAAGGCCAAGGGATCAAGCTCCCTTGGATCAAAGGGACCATCCCGGAGAATATCTTCGGCAGACGTGGTGCCCCGGGGATCGTCGGGATCGGGTGGATCGGCGGGAGTGGCGGTGCCGCTCCAGAACTCCAAGCAGAAGCAGCCGGAGAAAAAGAAGGACTCGCTGGCAGCCAAGGAATGTGAGTACTACGCACTTCCCCCTCCAAAACGGCACATGTGCTCATTCCCGTACACGCACAGTGGCGGTCAAAAAAATACCACCACCATGATGCAGGATCACCATAGTTGATATCAAATTAGTGATTTACAATTTTATCAAAGTATATAAATCGCATTTACTTTAGGGAAGTTGGGATACATGTGCTCATTTCCTTGCAATCACAGAAGTGGGCAAGCAAAACGTGACTACCTTAATTAAAGTGGTTTTTATTTAATTCAGAAAACAAGTCAAAACGCATATTATTTATGGGTTACTATTTTACTAAGTAACTTCAGGAAAATTAGGATACATGTGCCTATTCCCTTGCGAAATATGAAAACATCTTCGTTTTGAGTGCGTTTTAATGTTTATTCTGAAAATTATTTAAAAATAATAATTTTTACCATTAAATAAACCTAAATACGTCTTATATATTGAAAAAAAATATAATAAAAATATCGTATTTAAATTATAACTGTGCTCGCACCCATGCGGGCAAGAAAATGTATTAAAAATATATATTTTGACTTAGCTAAATAATTAATAAAAAAGAAACTTGTCATTTACATTCAGGCCTTTTTTTAAGAACATCACAATATTGAGAGATGCAATGTTTTTCACACCTAACATACATAATACATTAAATTGTGAAATTTTTAAACCTTTTTGTTTTGCGAACCTATTGGTAGTATAAGCAACATGTACAGCTTAATGTTATTTTTCCATTTTAACGAATGGTATTTAGGCGATCTTCTGAAAAACCTCATATCTTTCTTAGCTAAATTTTAATGTTAAATTTTCTCGTTTCCAGCTGCGGTTAAGAACAAGGAATCTTTGAAGAAGGAGCCTGTGAAAAATGAGCCCGTGCAGGAGCCGTCCACTGCCATCTCCTCCATCCCGGCGGTTGACAAGCTGCGCCGCTTCTGTTTTATTGGCTCCGCGGACGAGCCCGTCTATGCCACGCCCACGCTGGACCTCGCCGTCGAGACCAGCTTCGCGTCGCTGAAGGACCTCTGCTCTCAAGTGACCGAAGTAGAGCTGGCCGAGTGCCTGACGAGTGTCCTGGGCAGCGGACCGAATGCAGAGCACCTGCCGCGCCCAGACGAGCCCCTCCTCATCCTGGCCGTCTATCTTACCACGCGCGACGACGAAAAGGAGCGCAAGTTGGTGCGAAACAGGTTCGCCGATCTGATTACCGGCGAATCGCACCTGCTGCTGTTCGTCCAGCTGGTGAAGCGAGTCCAGAAACTGCTCGATCGCAAGACGCCCTTCAACCGCACGGTGCGCAAGGCCATTCTCGACTGGTATGGCAAGCAGCCATTGGACCGCCTCCTTCACCTGTGGTCGGTGGGCGACGGAACTCGTTGGTCGGCGCATCGCGATCTGCTGCACCGCTGTCACTTTCGGGATGGCGATTTTCGACCGGAAATCATGGCTGCCTTGCGGTTGCTCTCAACGTCGCCCAAGGAGCTATCGAATTGGCCCGCTTTCCTGACGCCTTTAAGCAGTAGCCGCGGAATTATCGAGGGTGTGGTGAAGCTGCGTCTTCTGCAGGATCCCGAACAAGCTCTGCCCATTGTTAAGAAGCTCTCGCTGAGCTGGGAGCATGTGCCGCTCCAGCTGTTCAACGATCCCGGACTGGCCAAGTTTCTTATACCGCGCATGAGCTACGAGCAGCTCCTCCGCAGCTGGCCACGCCTCTCGCGAATGCAGCACCAGGTGCGCCCCTTCGCCGAGCAGCTACTGGACGAGAAGAAGCTCAAGGCGGGAAATGTCCCGCCCGTTCGTTTGCTGCTGGAGGACATGCGTCTGAGGAAGCCCAGGAAGTTGGTGAGTGAGCAAGGGTCCCAGGTTCTCAATATTTATTTACGATCTATACACTTAATAATGAATGCAACTTGTTTAGTATCCAACTTGTTTGCGGAAAGCGAGTTTTCTGCATAGCGTTTACGAAATATCCTTTGGCAAGAACAAGGCTCTCGGCAGGCGTCTGCACATCACCCTTAATCTGGAGCAGCACTACCTAGGCAGTGAGTTCTGTCGCATCCCATTAAACTCCAAGATTATACCATTCCCATCCGCTTTTAGAATACCTTACCGGTCGCTGTCGTATGCTTAAATACATAGATGGCCTGGTGGCAATGGCCTTTGGTTACTTCCGTAGCGATCCCAAGGTGACGGTGCAGTTCTGGCACGATCGCAGTGGCCAGCTGAAGACGCTGCCCTGGACAAAGGAGATGACCGTGGCAGAGGCCACGTCCTGCTGCGTGGATCAGAAGGTAACAGCTTGGTGAAATCAATAATAAAACCCTATACGTAACCGTTTCCTCCTCCTCCGCAGGTGCTTAAGATCAAGCAGTCGCTGACGGATATTTTGGACAGAGCGCTGGAGGATGAAAAGAACACGTACGATGTGTTTTTAGTGCTGGTGCCGGGAGCCGGGCGGGGAAATCCGGCGAACAGTTCCAAGAGCTTGGCTGCCCTGATGGATGAATACCGCGAGAAGCGCAGCTCCAATGCCAAGTGAGTGTTTAATATATCTTTGATGGCAAAAAATTTACTTCATAAATCACCCTTCCTTTTTCCAGGTTCATAATTGTGAGCCTGCGGCAGCACCACGGCTCCATGACCTATTCCGGCGAACGAAACGAGAACCTGTTGGAGTTGTGCAGCCTGGACGAGCACACGCCGCGGCTGATTAACGCCTTTGCTCGCAGAAAGTTCTACTAGACGTGGTAGAGGAGCAGCCTTTCGAATCACCGACGAATCCCAAATAATCGCACAGCTGCCAGCGCAAATCAGTACCATTTGTTGAAGGACGGTGGCCATCGGTTCGTTGCCATCGGCCATCTCTCTCGCTTTCATAGACGCTAGGGCGCTCGGTCCACCCACTCCCGTTCAGAATAGCTTTCATGTAACATATATATAGGTCCTTGGTGTGTAATCATCGTAGAGCCAGGCCAACTTAATGCTACATACTTATGTACTAATAATGGTAATAGTTACACCCCGGAATCCAGAATTGCAATCGGGTTAGTTAGATATTTTTAACGCTCGTTTTGTGTAATCACCTTTGTATTCGTATTTGTATTTGTACCAGATTTGGTGGATTTATTTTTTGAAATCAAACTGAATCAACTGAACTGAACTCAATCTAAATTCAATTTGGATTAAAAACAATCTCAAAGCAAAAGCAAACGCAAGCGCAAACAACAAACAAAACAAAAAAGAAAAAAAAACAAAAAAACCGAAGAACAACAAATTGCCTTACAAACAAAAATGTTAGTAAAACTTTCATTTTAGTTTAGACTTTTTCAAAAATCGAATACTGGAACTGAAACTGAAACACAAATTATGGCATTTAGATAAAGTTAAAGTTAAACGTAAACTAATCATATGGCCTATGTATTGAATATTGAATATTAATCTAACGTAACTTAAAATAGTCCAAGTCAAAGCAATAATCACCAACAACTAAGCAAATCCAGTTATAGCCTCAGATCGATCATAGATTTATGTTGTGCTCGAATAGAATCGAATTAAATTAGCTAAATAGTCAAAACGCGTACAAGGAAAAAAAGATAAAAAGAAAATGGAAAATGAAAACTCCCAATGTGCCATACACACCACCACAAAATCACACAACCAAACTTACACACCCCATACACTCGATCAGTATATTTATTAGGATTGTGAAAAAACGCCGAACCGAAAACATATAGAGAACAATAACGAAACGACGAGCAAACGCTACCAATTTGACTAAAATTAGTTAAGTGAAATTATACTCAAATTACGATTAAATTACATTTACTTGTATAGAAAGCATAGCAACCAATTTGGAAGTTAAGCAAAATCCAACCGAAAATAGGGAAATCGAAAACGAAATTAATTAACCAGAAATCGAAACGATACAAAAGAAAATAGGAAATATTTCCACGGACATTTCTAACCAAATGTTTCCACACGCGTCTGTGAAGTAAACCGTTGTGATCGCTTTAAATTTTGATTTAAACAAAACATAAATACAAAACAGGAAACTACTGAATACAAAATGCAGAAAAGTCGGAACACAAACCGCGAACAGGCAGCTCTAAGTTATTCTATATAGTTTGTGAACTCAAAATCAGTAGGAGCGTAACCGAAAAGTACCTATACAACAAAAGCTAAACTAAAACTGAAACTTATACTGCAGAGCCAACCAATTGAACTCCAAAAATCCAGCAGAACTACACAAGAAGTATTCAACTAAACCGCGCTGCCTGAAAAAAATCGAGGATAAGGTAGATCAAAGGAGCTGAATTGGAAGAAAGGATCTACGGACTACCGCAGAATGTATACACTTTACAGATTGTGGAGGAGAAATCTGATTTGAATTTATTGTTACTAATATTAAGGCTCATTTGTGCCCTCTTTGAAAGAGGATTAACCATAAGGAAAATTGAAAGAGACCCAACCAAAACCACTGTGAAATGTGTCACAACTCCTATGTTTTTTCCCCTTATTAAAGGGTCTCTTCTTATAATTTTATTTTACATTCACTTTAGTTTAAGATTCTAAAATTTGTTTATCGGCTTAAGCACACAAAATTTTGTGGTCCGAAGTATATAAGTTATCTCTACGTATGAATTTACGCATTCCAATTTGAATATTTTTCATTATTTTTGTATTATTAGACTTAAAACCATTATACCTTTATTGTTACCACATAAGTGAACATTTCAGTTTGTAAAGTGTATCCCACACAGAAACGCAAACCAAACAGTTGAAACAGTAAAGTTACCGAAAAGTTGAACAGTGAAAAATAAGTTAAACAATAAAAACATATGCCAAGGAAACACATTTCAGTTAAAGGAAATTTAAATAAGAAAAATTATTGTTGTTGATCAAATCAAATAAATTTAAAGGAAACTAAAAATAAAACGAACACGAAAACTAAAACTGAAACTGAAATCGAAATCGAAATCGACTCGAAACGAAACGAATTGAATTAAATCCGTAGTAAAACAGCAACAAGAAGCAAAACATCATGTGATATCTATTTCAAAAATAAATCAATTGACAAACTAAAGAGAAGCCCTAACCATAACAAAAGCAGAATATAGTAAAATTAGCCTAAAGCCACGAAGCGTTCAGAAAGCAGAGTTTCGAAGATAAAGATTCTTATCATTTCCCGTTGAAGAGTTACGTAAGATCCCGAACCACAGATCCATATTGATTACTAAAACACACACATCAGCAATACATGGCTCGACTTTGACTCTCTATCTATCTCTTTCTCGCCCCCGCACTCTATCTCTTTCTGTCTGTAGTGTTAGTCGAAATTCGGATTGTACGCGCGTTCCCAAAATGTTCAACTCCTTGCTAACGTATTCCAGAAGGTTTTTTATAAGCATATACATAAACGTATACATACTTCTTATACACTAATCTAGGCTAACGTTGAATAAATTCTGAATGATTCGAACAGCAATCGCCATTAGCATTTACTGGGTGGTATTGGTAATTAATTTTTTATCCCTAGGTTTGTGGGATTCTGGTAAGATCCTTTTTCCTTTTGTACAATCTGTATTATGGATTATTTTATTATTAAAGAAGTATAATAAGGATTTATTATGTTGGTCAAATTTTTATTGTGCCCAAAAAATATTTCAGAACATTTTTATAATACACAGACATCTTATACACTAATCTAGGCAAGTATACCTAAAGATCCGAATAGCACTTACAATTTACTTTTATTGGGGCTATCATGGCGGGACTTTTTTTGCTTTTCTTCTTTGCCTATCTTCGATTTGATTTGACTACATAAATCTCCATTTGTATTGATCATTAAATATATTCTCCCTTATCTTCCCTCTCTTTCCATTCCATGATTATATTTTGTCCTGATTTTTGAAAAATATATAATACGATAATCCTTTTGTGAATTTTCGCTTTTAATCTACCATTTTTTCGTCTCCTCCTTTGGTTTATTCCTGCCTTTTTAAAGATATGGTAGTCTTTCTGATATAGATCAAATAAAATAAGCCATCTTATTTTTTTTTTAAATCAAAACACCTTTGAAACTTCATTTTCTTTTTAGTCTTTTTTTTTTTGTGATAGTCTTACCGTCTACTTCTTATGCATAGATAATCGGCTAGACTTCTCCTTTTTTTCTGGGGTATATCTTCTTGTATTATCATTTTTGAAGAGAGGCTTGGTATCACTGGAGTTTTTTGATTTGTTTTATCTGTTTTACCATTTTTTTCTTTGTATCTGATATATTTTTGTGATATAATCAAGGAAACGTAACTTTGATTAATGATCCCTTTCTCTTCCTATTCTCGAAATTCATTTGTATTACAACTTTTGAAGATGAGCCTATTGAAGGAGAGCCTACTTATTCTCCGTGATTATACCAGCTGGACCGCAAACGTATAGCTGCTGTTGGTCCCGATCCCTGAGGGGCTTGAAGCCCAGCTCGTCGGTGGGCACGCCGTACTGCTTGAGCTTGCACTCGTAGGTCTCCAGGAGGTCGTCGTGGGCCTTACGGGCCTTGGCCACCTCGTAGCGCAGGTCCAGGATGATCTTGTTCTTCTCATCGACGATGTTGCCCACCCGTTCGTCCAAGCTGGTCAGTTTCTCAGCGAAATTTGGGGCACAAGTGGCGATCGTTTCGTGCAGGACAATGCTGCGCTTCTCGTCCTCGCGCATCAAGGCGGCGATCTTCCGCTCCAAAAGGACATTCTTCAGCCCTGTCTTCTGCTGCAGCTCCACGATGACGTCGTTGAAGCGCTCCTTAAGTCCCTCGCGTTCCGCCACCAAAGAATCGTTGCGCAGGATCAGGGTCTCCGCTTCCCACGTGAGACCCTTGACCTTCTTCTCCAGCCGCGTGTTGCGCACCTTGAGGCGGCTCAACTGCTGTTTGTCCCGCTCGTAGAACTCCAGCTTGCGGCGGTACTCGTTCAGCTGGATATTGGCATGTTCCAGCGGCTCCTTCAGTCGCCGATTCTCTGCCGCCGTGTCCGCGGCAATCCTGTCCGATCTCTCCGCCTGCTTGCGCAGATGCTCCAGCTGCTCCTTCATGCTGCCAATCAGCGCCAGGTTGTTCAGCGTGATGTCGTTGTAGTAGTTCTTCATGTCGTTGAAGGCCAGGTCGTGGTGGTCTTGCAGGTCCTTGATCTGCTGGTTCTTGCGCTCCTCCACCTCGAACATCTGGGTGCCGTAGAAGAGGTCCAGCTTGGCCTTCTGCTCGATCATCTTCTCCTCGTGCAGCATCTCGTTGTCCTTGCGCTCGCGCTCGAACGTGATGCGCTGCTCCCTGTCAGGATGCAAAAAATAATTAATTTGGAAAAAATTGAGTGTTTATTTCAAAATTTTGAAGGCCTTAGAAATGCAAGGCAGTCGAAAAACGAAACATTGGGGGCTGATTTTGACCTAGTCAAAATATTTGACCTGCACTCCTTATTAATTAGTTTGACTTTAAATATTATTAATAAACATTAAATATTTCAACATTTACTAACAATTTATTTCAAGAAAAAAACTGAAAATTTGGCTGGCAGATGTGGGATAGATCGAACTGGGATTAGTGTTTTTGAGAGGGTACCCACAGCAGCTTCTCGTTGAAATGGGCCTCCATTTGGCGCAGCTGCATCTCGCTCATCTCCATCCTTTCGCGAAGCATCCTGCGCAGCTGGCGCTTGTCCCTTTGCAGCTCGTTCTCCTGAAGGACATGGTGCTCCTGGGCCAACTTCAGCTGGGTCATCGCCTCAGCCCGAACCTCGCCCAGTTTATTGTGGTTCTCGAACTGCAGATGCTTCATCTGTTGCATCACATGCTTGGTGTCGATGTCAGCAAGGTCCTGTGTGGCCTCAATCTCCTTGTCCTTCTGCTGCAGCTCATAACGGGTTTCATCTAAATGGAGCAATTATTGTTTTAATAATCCCCAAGTAAAATATATGTTCTTTTGATGAGTGCCAAGAGACGCATTTTAGTACTACCATTGTCCGAAATTGGAACAAGAAGAGTAAACCCATCAGGGATATCCAAAACTCACCCAGCTGCTGGCGCGTGATCTCCCAAAAAGTGCGGATCTTGTCCCGCTCCAACTGGAAGTAGTTCCGCTCCTCCCGCTCCCGATCCATTTCCGCCTTCAGCCGGAGGGCAAAGGCCTCCAGCTGGTCGCGGGTCATCGCCGAGGTGTCCACGCCATCGATGAGCACTGAGAATGGGTTTAAAAATGATTATAATCAGATTTCAAATATCAGAAAGAATACTTCACAATGGCATAAAAAATAAATGAGACAATTTCAATTTGTAAATATAGTTTGTTAGTTATTTTTGGGAAATCGCAGTCACTATTTAATTGACTTTCTTAATTTCTAATGTTTCGGACAAGTGAAAAGTGGGTGAGTGAAAATTTGTTGGCCGCATTTTTGGGGCTCCCTGCTTTATGGCAATTTAATGAGAGCGGCACGCCTGGTTACCCCTCTACTTCCCCTTTTTCCCCATTTCCGCCATTTTTGCCCCTGCTACGCCCCTTTTCCTTAGCCACTGCCCGCATATGTGGCCCAGCAGCAGACCGTGTTGCAATTGTTTTCTGTAATTGGCATCGTTGGACGGCTGGTGCCAGGACTTGCACTAGGAGTGACTACTAGGACTACCAGGACTAGGTCTCAAACTAGAAAGCACTCGGCAGAAAATCGCCTAATAACATGGATTTCATTAGGGCAAAAATAATATTTTAGTTGTTAGACAGTTGTTTGAATTTTTTTCGAATTTGGTAAGACAGATACAAGCTAAATTTGAATATTGATCAAATATTATATAAAAAGTTAGTCACCTAGACTTATTTTATCATCATATATGTCCTTTAAAAGAAAAATAAGAAAAGTAAAACAAAAACCTAAATGGTTGGCAGTGGTTCGATTATAATAAACCAACGACTTGATTTTAATGTAAAATTTGGAAAATTGTTAATTAAAACTAGATCCTTTTTATGTATTGTTGAAAATATTGCCAAGAAGTTTTTGAAAATTGTTTTGAGCTTTGAAAACTTAATCTTAGAGAAATACAAAATAGCTAATAATCCTTGTTTCTCCTTATTTAAGAATCTAAAGTAAAAGGAAATCCTTGTTATTAACTCTATAAGCAATAGGTATACAATTCTGATATTTTCCCAGTGCATGCATAGAAACAATTATGTGCGTTAGATGTCCTAGAGAGTGGCGTGGGGTCAGGGGTCAGGGGTTAGGGTCGGGGCAAAATGCAGTGTGTTCACTCGTGGAAATTAAGTGGACAGTTTGGCCCCCCATTTTTTCCCTTTTAATTTTTGGGCTGCAAGGCTCCGCCAGAGCAATTGCATCGGGCATTTCTTGTCCACAGTTCTCCCCCTGCTTCCCTGCTCCTCCTGCCCCATTTTGGCCACTGCTTCCCTCCTCACGCAGATTATCGTTATTTACTAATTGTTTTGCTTGGCCTTTTTAAATTGCCCTGAATGACCAATGTCCGCCATTCCAGCTGCCCAGCTACCCAGCTACCCAACTACCCAATGGCACCCTGCTGCCATTAATGTTCCGAAAATGAATTGCCAGGCAGGCCTCGTCCTTGTTCCGTTTGTCTCCTCGTTGGGAGAGGCTTTAACAGCCGGAGTCCTTAAAGAGGACCCAGGATAAATTCTGGAATGACTCACTAATTGCGTATCTAACATGCGAGAAGGGTAACCATTATTTTTTATGGTTTTCTACAAGTATTTCAATTGGAACTTGGCAATAAAATGTAATCTAATTATGATTTTGCTTTACTTACCTGGCAATTTTTTGCCCTTCTTGCCCTTTTTACCCTTTGGCGGCTGTAAAACAATAATTTTATAATTAGTATTAATTATAGACATACAAATTAAGTAATGGTCATACCATTATCAAAATGCACAATATTAGCTTACTTGTTCTATATTATTAGAATTAAAGTAAATATTCCCTGCACAGTACTATATATCAATAAATAAAGATACAAAAGACAGCCTGTTAAATTAAAGTGAATAATCCCTGCACAGTACTATATATAAATAAAGATACATACGACATCCTGTAAGTATAAGCTGTTTCTTCATCATTACATTTAAAGTGAATAATCCCTGCCCAGTGCATTAATAAATAAAGACTCAAAAGCCAACCTGTAAATCCTAAAATGCAACTAAAATAAATTCTGAAAAATGAAATAAAAAATCTAAGACCCCAGCTGAGCTGGAATCTGGAAGTTGAAGTCGCCGCTGAACTTGCCCCAAAGAATTTCCACATTTGTCTATGCAAATTGAATGAGTTCTCCCCGCAGGAGAATGAAAATGAAAATGGGGGCTTGCGCAATTGTCGTCTGCAGCTCGCAACTATTTTTCGCACTTTAAATCCTTTAACAACGTTTAATTCGATTCCCTTCACGTGGGAGAAAGGCGGAGAAATGCGGAGAAAGCGGGGAGCTGCCATCGTCGCTTTAAATAATGTGATGGCGCGGCTTTCAAAACAATTTCGCAACAGCTGTTGGCTGTTGGATGCTGGCTTATTGCATATTTTATGACTGCAAATTATTCAAAAATTTTCGAAGCCGCCTGCGCCCGTCGTCGACCGCGCTTTTGCCATGTCCAAAGGCGCAAAGTATATATACATATAAATATAAATATATGTAGCGGATGGAAAAAAGGCGGATATGTATATGTTGGGGGCAGGTCTATACATAAACAAATGATCGAAAATAGACAACCAGCGGAAGAATGGGAGTCCAGGGGGCTCGAAGGACTCCTGCTTGGCTGCAATAAATGCACAGTGGAGCTACGCTAACACGAAAACTCTGAGCCAAAAGGAAATTACCAGCTATAATTATTAAAATCAATTTTCCATAAGTATTATGTTGCATCTAAATGAATGGCTGTTTCTTTCTTATGTTTATATGACAGAAGATCTCCAAGGACATATTTTTGTTTTTTGGTTTTTTTTTACTACACAAATAAAGATGTTTGAGGTTTGGTTTTTAATGTTCACATTTTATGCGCAGATATATTTTTTATGATCTTACCAAAATGAAAACATTAAAAATGATTTTTAGAGAGTAATATGTAATATTTTCTTCCCCAAAAACATTTTTTAACTCGACTACAGAATAGTTTTTTTTAGTTTTTGTTAAATGTATAAAAAAGAGATCGAATGTGAGTGTGTACGGGAGATATTCCATTTTTCTCAAGGCTGAAGGCCACTCAATTTCGTTGGCCAGCGGTAAATGAACGCCGAGGCTTCACTGTTTGCCCACTCGCAAAGTGCAGTTTGTATATGCAGCAACAGCAACAGCCTGGCTTGGCATGAAAAATTGAATGCGCCGCTTGCAGTGCAACTGAAACTGGGAAACTGAAAAACTGTAAAGCTGAAAAACTGAGACTGAAGGGAGCAGCGGAACGGAACGGAACCGGAAATCGGAAATCGGAAGGAGGCGGAAGCTGCTGGCCAAGCAGTGCGCCCATACGGATGCACTGCTTTTGTTGATGTGATTTAACAACTTATTACTCACCATGCTGTTCGCGGTGCTCCCTCTTTATGATTCTTTTGCCGAAAGTAGAGGACCGCCTTCCTCTGGTTTTTACGGCCAACTAAGCCGTTGATGTCCTGCCGTCCAGCAACAAAACAAATGTATCGATAAAGCAGTTGACAATGTGTGGGTGTGGGTGTTGGTGTAAGTGTAACCGGGCAACCGAAAGCAAAGGTTAAAGGTTAAAAACGTTGTTTTTTCGGGCTCACTCTTCTCTCGATTATTTTCCGGGGGAGCGAAAGGGAAAGAGCTGGAAAAAATGAAAAAAGTTTGGGGAATTTTTACAGTTATCACCTGGGTTTCTGTGGGGGAAATTGTTGGATGCGTAAAGCCTTCTAATTGTGAGAGGAATGTCATTCCGAAATGTGGATCTTGAAAAACAGGAGATCCCATCTTATACGTTACAAGTATTAATTTAAAAATAAATATATAATATTCTTGTAAATATTATAGCTAATATTATGTATACCTAAATACAGAATAGGAGTCTAAATTGACCATAATAAACTGCAACCACTTTTGTTGGTACTCTCGTGCTTTATATAGTACCCGGCATTAGTTTGCTGCCCAAGCCAGTGAAAACCGAAAAGCCAAGCCAGACCAGACTCTTTCTCTTATCGCCGTCTGCTGTCTGCTTCCTATAAATGGTCTCTTGAATTTTCCCCCCACTTTTCCATTTTCCCCCCATCGGAGTTTCCACCCTGCATTTCCCTTGCATCGTTTGTTTATTCGCCCGTTTGTTTGGCGGACTTTAAATGCTGGTGGCACTGCAGTCTCTGCTCTTGACTGGCTAATTTGATGATTTCGTGAAATACGATACTATCAGGAAGCTGGCAGATCCTCGGCTCCTTTGAGCACTGCTTGATGGTCCCGAAAATCTCGCTCGAATCAACTTTATTAGTCCGTTGAATAACATGGCACCTATGGCCTGAAAATTCCCCCAGAAACTCTGCCATTTTCTCGCCTTAATTAATGTTGGCTGTGGGCGGGGCTGGTTGGGCAAACAAAGGGCGGTGGGCGCTCCGGTTAAATGCTTTAATTGAAATTAATAACCGCAGCCAGTTTCGGCCAGTTGGCCAGTCGAGCAGTTTGAGCAGTCGGCTGTTGAGACGAGAACCCCGTGGCTTTCGCATGGAACAACATTTTGGGACCCGGCACACAGACACCGAGAATTTTCAATTGTTTTCATTAAAAGTCAATTTCTGATAGCGAAGATGCTGCGGCTGGTACACAGAGAGAAAAAGAAATATTCATTTGTAAAAATAATTATCCAAAAAAAGGAAGTTTGAGGGACAATTAAAAAATCGTAAATTTCCTAGATTCAACTTATGTATACAAAATGTATAAAAATCTGAATGGTGAAATAAAAATAAAACAATTTAAATGAATATGGTTTTCTTGTTAAAAATACATTTTATAAGAGGTTACTATATAGGAAAAATAGTGTTAACAGTATTTATTTTACAAAAAAGAAGTACAAAGTCGAATAAAATTATAATTTTAATAACATTGTATGGACCTATCTTTAAAGTTTTTTATTTAACATACCCATTTCCAGCTATTAACTTTTAATTGATGTTTTGTCTGTGTACCTTTACCCCTTTTTGCCACTTTTCCTTCTGCCCCGCATAATTTTTGTTTCATTTTATTCTGGCCAACGGCTGCGGTCGGTCATGGCCCATTGAGTTCCGTAACGGCTGTCAAGGGTTAAGGCGGGTGGCAATCGGGGGAGGGGCTGGGGAAAGCACTGATTGAAAGTGAAAGTATTTAAAATATGATTAGAAAATTTGCTTATCGAGGTCGAGGTGTGGTTCGCTTTAAGGCGATTTCTTTAAAGGGCAGCCAAATTTAATTAGGCTACTACAAGTCCTAAAAAAAATATAATGTTTTGTACTTACAAACTGTCAACCAAAATTATTTGCTATATTGTTAACAATTAAAGATAACAGTCAGAGTTCTTGACTTAAACCGATTAACAAACAAACCAGAAATGAACGAGTAAATTGTTGATACTGTTTTATATCAGAACCTTTTTATGTTTAAGACGCGATCGTCTTTTTATACCTTGTTAAGATGTGTTTTTGTTTGATTTTATTTATACAAACTATAAAGGTCCGTTTTCTTGTCCGCATCTTAAGCTAAATATAGGAGTTAAGCCTAAAAAAGTATGAAAAATTAGATTTCAAAACCTACTTTCTATTTAACATGAGGACGAAATCGGGTATTTTAATATTTTAACTTTCGGCTGTAAAGCAACCATAACCTTAAATTTCTATTAGGGAGATCAGGTTTATTAGCGTGCGTATTTAGCCTAAAAATTGCATTTAATAACATGTTCAGGGATTATTGCGTAATGATGATGAATGTCAACCCAGTTGATGCAACTGCAGATGAACCTATGGACAGATATATATACTTGGGTGTGTGCAAATTCACAGGATTTTCCGGGAGGTGGAAAGTGGGGGGGCTGAGGATGGCCCCCTAGTGCAGTGCTCATTGCGGTGGCAAAAGTTATTTGCTGTGTTATTTTCACAACAACTTCCGCTCGGCGCAGAAACGGATATCCTGCCTCTGAGTGAGAGATCCAGATATGTACGAGTGTATATAGATATAGACGTATATACGTATAGCTGTGGATGGGGAAAAGTTGTTGGTGCAGCTGGTCGGACGCCTTGTCTTGTCTGTTGTTAGCTGCAAAAACCCCTCGACCGCCCCTCGCCATATGCAAAACTGTGCTTTTACAACTCCTCGGCCCAAACTTTGACTTGCGACCCGAACCCTGGCAATTTAAACTTTCTGATTAATTTTAATAAATATATTTTTGTCCTTTATTTGTAGAATTTGTTCGTTTACCATATAATATATATAATTTGTCTTGTATATATATGCTTGTTTATTTATTATATATATAAGATATACTTTACTTTATGCGTTTACTGCTGGTTTATATAGAGCGGCTCTCCATTTTTCAGGGGGATTATCGAGAGAACTTTGATTAAGCTTCAGTTTTATGTTTTTACTTTTTTTGTTTTGGGTGAACTTCTTTGATCGATACTTAAATCCATCCTAAATACACATTACATTTTATCCTCGTTGGCTATATACATTTTATTTTTAGCTTTAACTTTTCTTTATGAGCTGTCTTATATACATTTCTTAGGCTTAAAGTAATTGTAATTTAAAAGCAACACAATGAGAACTTAATTTATTACACATTTGAATGGATTTAAGCCACAACAAAACTATATACAGAATGTGAAAAGTCGAAGGATTTCAGGATTCTATAACATTTCCTCTAGTTTATCTTATTTATTTTCGTTCAGCATTTAGGTCTGCTAATAATGGCACATAATATTATTGTGTATTTCGATTTTTTTGATATAAGTACAGTACCATATAGAGAGATATATCCCGCTTAGCATATGAACAACCTTTAATGGCTCTGATTCTTGTAGAGTCCATTTGTATAACTATGATTTCCATTTTAATATATGTCCTTGTTTTTTTTTTTTACAAATTTCCATTACAAATTTAGCATTTGCTTACTTTGCTTTATACACGAACCAAACAAACTGGTTATATGCAGTTGTGTTCAAAATAATAGGAGTTCCAAAGTTTTGAAAAAGATTTGATAAACATTGGAATTCGTTTTAAAAGGTTACTTTAACTGATCCAGAAAATTATAAAAAAGTTGTTCCATAAAATTGTTTGGGTTATAAAAGTGTAGTTCTCTTTAAAGAACTACATTAAAAAATAATTATTATATATTGATTGACAGTTTTAAAAAAGGGGGAAAACTAAACTGAATTCGATGTATAGTTCCATAAAATTGTTTGGGTTAAAAAAAGTGTAGTCCTCTTTAAAGAACTACATTAAAAAATCTTCTTATATATTGCTTGACACTTTTAAAAAAGGATGAAAACTAAAAAAAAAATCGATTCACTTTGGGATTATTACTATTATTTTGAACACAACCTTACGGCCACATATATGTAAACTTGAGGGGGTTGCTTAGATTTTGTGGCTAGATTTGGTTTTATTGTTGCAGCGGCAGCACAAAGCGGCTCTTAATTAAAATGCAACAAATGCACAAAGGATCCTGCAGCAGGACAACTGTTGCACAATGAACCCGGGCAGGAGTCGAATAAAATTTCAATTAAATCAATTCGAGCATGTGGCCAGAGGGGTCCAGTGTCAAGTGTCCTGGGGTCTGGACAGAGAGCACCAAGTACTGGCAACGGAATCCTAGGTCCTTCGTCCTTCGAGTGCTGCCCACACACACACACACACACACACACACACACATACACACACAAACGCACACACGCACAGACGAGGCCACATGCAACTTGCAACTTGCAACCGGCAACCTGAAGCAGCTGTAATTGAATTTCTGCTGCTGGAGTGGCTTGTTATCTCGTATTTGTTTAATTTTATTTCTCGCTCGGCCGCCCGGCAGTCATCATCATCATCAACTGATGAAAAGATACGGCTGCAAGCCAAAAATTTTCTAGATGCTGGGCTATTTGCTCTGGCCAAGAACACAGAGAAAAATGGGGGTCCTAAGAGCAGTTAAAACAAACAAACAAATGGTTAGGAAAATGAATGAAACGAGTGGAAAAATATACAACATTTTACTAAGGATTTCTGTGGAAACTATAAAAACAAAGGGAAACCGATTAAGCACAGAGAGAATTTTGGAAACAAAACTTTGTAAATATATTTAAATTAATTTAGAGGGGCGATAAGAAAATTGTTTTAATAAGTTTTAAAAAAGGTTTTGAGTGAGTTATAAATAAAATAATATTTGCATTGAACAGAAATTAGGTATACGAACTTATGTTGGAGTACTGCCATTTTAAAACTTTGCTAAACTGATCTATGCCGTATTTTCTAGCAGTGTTTTTAGTAGTGTTTCTAGCAGTGTTTCACTTATTTAGCCAGCTGTTGCTCGACAGTCGCTTGTCAGCCATTGAGACATTACAAAGCGAAGCCATTTACCAGGATGCCAGGATAAGAGGATACACACATTCACACACGCGTACTACGCACCAACACACACTCACAATCTCCATACAAATACACACTCATAATGGGAATATTCAAGCCGACACTCATTTCATTATTAAATCAAAAAAGTTGAGTAAATTTCAGCCAGCGGCTGACAGCTTCCGCACTTATTTTGCTCATATTTTCCCTATACATATTTTCCTCTCATTTTTCCCTACGTATTATCCCTCTGCCCCGCCCCTCGATTTTCCCCGCCCCCCGCCTATGTGTGTGTGTGTGTGTGTGTAACAATTCAACTTGATTGCCATTTGTTTTAGCGAGCTGCTGTCCCATCTTTTCCCCGGAAAATGCGGAAAATGTTTTGCGGCCAACACACGCACACAATTACATTTTCCCCCAGCCACGCCCCCGTCACCGACCCCGCCCCCGCCCCTGCCCACCGTCAAGTAAGCGGTGTATTCAATTAAACTTCCGTCAAACATGAACCAAACTCCCAAAACTCCCCCTGCATTTTCCTCTTGCCTTGGGGTTATAAAATAAACATGTTGCCACACACAAAATTTAAATAGATACAAGTTCGCCACACTGCATAACACAATAAACCGCAGTAAAACAAAGGCGGTTGGAAAAAAGAACGCCAAAAGAATGGCCCCAAAAATATGACGAAGATGAAGGAGAGCCAGGATATAACTCAGGATAGGGATGACCAGGAAATGTCCTTACGGGAAAGTATTTAAGATGCATTATACAATTCTTAAAAATACTCAAAATCTTAAATAAAAAACTTTAACTAAGAAGAAGAGGCAAGAAAAATGTGAAAGATATTTGAATTAGATGATTACAGAATCTTAAATTAGAAAATCTAGTATGTAATTTAAAAGCACAATTTCTTGGTAACTATTTTTTTCAACCATTTAAAGACTAGTGACTTTCATGTCTCAACTTCCTCACTTTTGAAAAACAATTTTGCTTGGCTTTTCCATTTTCCTTCTCCAAAACAAAGGCAATTTAAAGACAGCAGTCACAACCAGGAATGATAAAAAGGGAAATGCGAAATTAAAATACAATTTGACGGCATCAAATAGAGCAATTAAGCGCCTCCCCCGCCACGCCCACTCAACGCGTCGCTTTTCCCCCGCCCACAAAAGTAGGCAACACTTGGTGAGACAGAGATGGCAGGACTCACGCACACACACACACCATTGTGCGCGGGAAAACTTGATTACAAGTGTCGCGGAAAGCCCCAAAAAACAACTCAAACTGCGGCTCCATAACAATCATAAGCAGCAAAATGCACATGTACAGTGAGAAAAAATATGTGCTTAAACAGGAACAAAAATAAATGCTTAAAAAAAATATTTAAAACGAAAAAGCTAAGGAAAAAATAAGGAGCAATATTAAATCTTAGTTTAAATAACAGTTTAATACGTTTTAATATTTATAATTAAAAACAGATACTAATATAAACATATTTTTTTAAAATATATGCATAAAAGCTTTTGAAAACTATAAAAACTTTTGATTAAAAATATAATATATATGGTTATTTGCAAATTTAGAAAAAAATATACACAGTTATTGAAATGATTTTTCGGACAAAATAAAATGCACTTCTATTAATTACAACTATAAAACTTTTCTCCCTGTGTGATTGTCCTTTTGTGCATGTTTGTCTGGCAATATTGCTGCTGTGTATTTATATTTGTTGTGCTATTTACGCAATACAACAAAGGACAACAAAGGATGCGCGATTTTAAAGGCGGCAAATGTGTGTGGCAAGGATAACAACAAAAGAAGCTGCTGCAACAGCAACAATGGGAGTGATGTGAGCAGCAGCAACTTCAGTGGCAGCAGCAACATCCCCGCAGCAACATCACCCTTAGAATTAGCCAAAGTGGCACAAACTGCAATGGTAATAGAAATAACCCCACCGAAATGGAGCGGGAATTTAGAAATGTTTAATTAGAGAACATACTTCGACCTCTCTTAATACATTGTAAGATTTTGAAAAGGATAAAATCAGCTTCAAATAAATTAATATGATTAATATGAAGCATGAATCTTTAATATTTTAAGTACTAAAAGAAATTGTAAGCGCTTAGCAGAGCTTTCATGTGGCAACATGAGGTGACTGACAAACAAGCAACATCAACATTAACACGAGCAGCAACAACATTATCAATGGACAATGGCGGCAGCAACTGCAGCAACATCAACTTGCACAGCAGCAACTTGCAACATCAGGAAAAGTGTTGCTGCCGGTTGACTAGTTCTCGATGTTGTACGTTGCTGCTTGGCTTCCTTTTCTTGGGGGCCTGTGTAATTTGAAACACTTGTGTCAACGTGGCTAAAACTCCCCCACATTTTGGCCCCCCTCTGGCCCCCTTTGACCCCCTCTGTTAACCCACTAAAGCCCCTGCTGGTGACATGTTTCTTTGGGTTGCTGCTGTTGCTATTGCTGTTGCTGCTGCTGCTGTGTTCATGTTGCTGTTGCTGCGGTTGTCAGCGTCTTATTATCATCATCAGTGGCAGCTTTTGGCGGTTTTGTATATTTGTAGCTGTCTTCGTCGTTTTTTTTTATTTCATTTTAGTTTTAAGTTCTGCCAGAGGATTGTTTGGGGTTTGAAGGTTCGGGGGCTGCTTACAATGAAATTCACTTTGCCAAAAAGTTTTCATTTCATTAAAAACGTGGCTGTGTGGGTGTGCGATATGTGTGTGTGTGTGTGTGTGGTTAACTGACATGCAAGTAATTCATCAAAAGCAAATGCAACGCAGATGGGAGCCGAGAGTTTTCTGTGTCCACAACTTGTGCCCCACAGCTGCCATACACACATTTGCAAAAAACAAAAAAAAACACACACACAAGACGTTGCCACAAAAAAAAAATAATAAAACAAAAAATAAAGCACTCCGCTGCAAGGACTTGAAAAATAAGACAACAAGAAACCAAAAGTTTTGGCATACACCAAGAAATAGTTGGTAAAACAGGGGTTAAGGGCAGCATATGACAGGGATAGGGGTTAAAAGGCATCGCAGCTTGTGTGCAAATCATTTGCATAAAAATAAGAAATTTAATTACATTTAAAGGCAGAGCAGCAACACAATTAACAAATCTCCTCACAACAAAATAAATTAAAAAAGGTCTCAAAGTCTATTTATTATAAGGTCCCACCCTCTTCCAGAACCTCACAAGTGTCAATCAAAGTTGAACAAATGAACAAAAGTCAGTCAAAAGTAGCCCAAATTAACGAATAACAAGCGAAAAGTAAAAGAAATCATTTTTCCTACAAATCAAAAAAGTTTTCCTTTGTTTTTGTGTTACTTTTCCATGTTAATTGACCTTTCGAAAGTTTTGTAAATCGGTTTGGGAAATTGGAAATTGGTTAAAAAAAAGGTGTGCCAGCCGCCTAAATTTAAATGAGAAAATCAACAAAAAGTTGGCTGCCGAAAGGGTTGATTAATAACAAATAGACCGGAAGTTGTAGACTTGAAAGCAATAAATATCAAGTGTTTTCCTTCGATGGAATCAGAGTTATCTTATGCTATGAAAAAAAATTACAGTTGTTTCAAATGGCCTTTACTTTATCTCAGTGCTCGATACACTGTAAATGCTTTTGGGTACCGCTTAACCTTTGGCTAGCTTTGATTACTTTATTACGCAACCCCCTTAAAAATGTTTCGGTAACACTAGAAATTCTTGCGTTAAATACATTCACTATTTTTGGATGCCTCCCAACACCATCCTTGTTTTTTTTCTGTTTTTCATTTATGTTATAAACAATTTAACATTTGCTACTACAACATGTGTGTTTAATGTTTGGGTCTCCTAATGGTTGAGAGTACGTGTTCTAGAGACCATTGGTGAAAGTGTTGTTGAATTTTTGGTGAATGCTCAGTCCCTTAGAGGTTCGACACACTGAAACATTTGTTGGTAAAAGTGTGGTTGTGTGTAAGGTGAAATAGTTTTTGAATGTCTGGTGAATGTTTAGTCCCTTGGACTGTTACATACTAAACCATTTGCGTAGCCTGATTGAGAGACTGTTGGTGAAAGTGTTGTTGAGTGTTTGGTGAAAATGTTGTTGAATCTTTGGTGAATACTTAGTCCCTTGGACTTTTCTCTCTGACTGGGAGTTTGTGTTTTGCAGACTGCTGGTGAAAGTGTTGTTGAAGATTTGCAGGGTCCTTTGGACAAAGAACTACAAACCTCAATATGTAAGTTGTTTTTTGTTGTTGAAGCTATTTAGGCACTCCAACATTTGTGTTTCTGGGTTGGTGAAAGTATTGTGGATATCATTAGACTGAGTATTACACACTTCGGTTGAGAGTAGGTGTGCTCGATGAATGTCTTTTTGTGGGCCCCTTCAGACCCATTTTTCCTTCGTTGCATCCGTGTGTTGTTGAGTCTGCTGCGGAATGTGCTGGTGAGTCCATTAGACTGCGTATTATAAAAGGCTGAGCAGAAGGCCGGACAGGGTCGACAAGCCCATTAAGAACGGCTGTCGACAGTGCCAACTCCTGGGCAGGATGAGCAGGATGGAGAGGGGGAGGGAGAGGGAGAGGAGGAGCTGGGGCAGGTGGTGACCCCGACGCAGTGGTCGCGAATCGCCGGAGCCGGAGCTCATTTCGTTGTTGTCGATGGGGCCGCGCACTTCCGTATTGCCGCCGTAATATGGCGGCGGCTTGCGGGTGATGCCGCCCATTTCGCCACCACCTGGTGACCCCGACCCACCGCCACCTGGCTGACCCGGGCCCCCACCACCCGCCCCGCCGTGCTGCTGGTGGTGGTGGTGATGGTGATGCTGCTGATGTTGATGCTGATGCTGATTGCCGCCGGAGTTGCCCGGCTTATGTGTGGCCGGTTTATTGCCGCTGGTGTAGTAAACGTGTGGCGATAACGGTGTCAGCCCGCCCTCGCCCTCCGCCTCGAAATCCTCGGCGGATCCGTACTGCAGCTCCTCGTCCTCCGGCTGGTAGGTGACTTTGACTTGTTGTTTCTGCTTCAAAATGTCATTGGCATCCGCATCCAGGCTTCCGCCCGCCCCTCCGCCGCCACCACCTCCGCCACCTTTTCCGCTGCCGTTCAGCGGATTTTTATTACGATTCGGTCCGGGGATTTCTGAAAGGCAGCGGGAGAAAAATAAAATGGAAAAACAAAGGAGCGAATGAGAAAATGTAATTGAAACAAAGGTGCAAATACGTCCCATTTCGCGGATTCGAGGCTCTACAGTGGCGGTCAGGTAAATAGCAGTCACCAGAAAATTCAAAAATAAATAAAATAAAATGTAAAGTGCGTGATGTATAGAAAATTATTATGTATGTTTTAAAATATTAATATAATTTGTTGATTTATTTGGTTATTACTTGCTTATTTGCATTTCATTTTTGCAGAATTAATATGATGAAAAATTGTAGTCATTTTAAAATTAATGACATAATAATAAATACGAAGTTGCTAAAAAAAATGTATGAAACTAAAAGTTTAATAAATATATATATACTTATATTTTGTTACAATCAATCAACTTTTTAAAGGAAATTTTAGATTGTTTTTAGAAACACACTGCTACTTAACCTGTTTACCCTTGCTGTATGCCCCGCATATATGTACTACATTGATGGGGAAGGAACTGAACAACTCACCGTATAAACGGATACTGCTGTCGACTTCGCCCAGTGAGTTTTTGGCTATGCAGCGATAGGATCCGACATCGTCCTTCTGGAACTTCCTGACTATCATTGACATTTTGGTCTCGTACATGGACTGTGAACTCTCCTGCACATGGTACTTGCCCGATGTCACAATCATCTCTCCTAATGGGTGGTTAAAATAAACATACATATATTTTTGTAATTCTACAATTTTTTATAGCCTGCCATGCTTAAAATTTGAACAGAAAATTCTTGAAACAAAAAGCAGGCTGTGACCCGAAACCAGCCAAACGTCAGACTTTCTAACAGCCCCATTTCATTATATTTTCTGCTGTAGCTCACATCACAACCAGTTTCGATTGAAAAATAATATTAAAAAAAAGTAAAAATATTTCCCCAAGGAAATTCTACGGTATTGGGTAAGTAAAAACAACACAATACAAAAATAATAAAATACAATACAACCAATACAATCGTGGAAATGAAAAGTCGCACCCAAATAGAACTAAGTCTGATTTTCTCTAACAAAATTTGAATAATTTATATACCAAATTCAGTTTAAAGCTCATCAACATTTCAAGCTTATCCTTGAACCGCGATTTCTCAAGATTTGGCTTGAAAAGTTCTTTTGGTTATATATGGTCACGTGAATTCTTTAGGAATCCCTATGTATTAAAGATATTTTGTTTTTGTTCTCGAATTTTTAAGAACTTTTCTTTTTTGACAACTTAAGGAAAGCCTACATGTTTCATTGTTTTCTTAGCTTACCATTAACTGTAAATACTTAAGAATTCACGGTCCAACAAAGATATTTTTTTTTTGCGAAATACCGGGAACCACATTCAGTGTATTATACACTTAAGAGCAGCAAAAAGATACTAAATGCTTAGAAAATGTAGGGTATTTAGTTTAAAGGGCTCTGGTTATGTTTCTGATTCTGTTTCGGGTTCTCGAAATCCCCGACTTCCACCACCGAACTGCAGCACCTGCAACGGGCGAACGTGCCGCAATCTGACAACTGACTAATGACAATGCCAAGCGATTCGATTCGAATCGATGTTGGAGTAATGATGCGTTCGGCCCCGGAGCCCGGCATCTGCATAGATGTATGTACCCATCTGCCATATAGGCAGATGGATATCTATATATGGACATACATGTGTATATATATCGGCAGACGGGTCTCGACACTCCGCTCGCACACACTTACCCGTGTCCTTAATCCAGTAGTTAATTGATTTGGGCGAGGCCTCGACGTGACACTCGATTTGGACATCAGTGCCAAGTGGTGCGCCGACTAATTGATTCGGCACTTGGATGACCGGATGAACTGCAACGAGAAGGGCGGTGGAGTTGTGGATGAGTTTGCGGGTCTGAGGGCTGCTGAGAGGTGTCCGAATAAAACAAATGTTGCCAGCCGATCGGCCATCAAATTGGCTCAGGTTGGCATCAAAACTCAGAGGTTCTTGGGTCAAGTAAACAGGAATCAGGGTTATTTGCAATACAAGTTCAACCGATTTTGGTGGTCTCGACCTGATATCGTGCTTGCTCTAAAATAGCGCAGAATGGTGGTTATAGTAGTTATGTGATATGTAAATTTTCCTAATATTTAATAACCATTGTCTTATTTAAAGCTTAAATTTAAAGAACTTAGAAAACTAATCTATAATTCATCTATATCAATATTAATTGAAAAAGTTAATGGTGCCTTTTCCCCGCAGTATTGAGGATGTCGGACTACTCAAAGTTTCTGTCCAACTTGACGGATCAGCTGGGCCTTCTGCAGGGACTTTCGCCGAAAGGATTTGGAGGACTGGGCGGTCTGGGAAACTTGGGCAACAATCTGGGCAACCTGGGAAACAATCTGGGCAACCTGCGCCCCGCCCACAAGGCTCTGATGTGCGTGGGAGCGGCCACCGTGGCCTGCGTGGTCCTGGGCCTCACTGTCAAGTCCTTGAGGGGGCGTGGCCGCAAGGACGACAAACGGAGGATCATCAAGGTGCGAAATGGAGTGCCGATTCAGCGTGACCTTGAGGGGTCTGTCAAGGACGACGGGTCCGTTGGTGAGGGGAACGTCAATGTGGTGCACAATGTAGACTAAGGCCTGGAGGATCCCAATTCGAATCCGAAGCTCTAAGGATCCCCATTATAGAAAACACGTCCCACGAAATTTCCCCTCCACCACCACATTTGTTTGCGCGTTCATAAGTTATCTGTATATTTTGTAATTTTATACCGTTTACAAAAGCGGTTACACAAACAACATCTGTTCAAAATTTTATAAATGCCCTTTCACATTCCACAATTTTCGAAACCTAACAACCCACAAATTTAATCTTGGTAATAAACTCTTCAATTTAACAACATTAAACGTTGAGAGATTTATATTATTTCCATAGATCAGTTCAGAGAATTCCAATTATCATTTTTGAGGTCCGTTGTGTATGAGCATAAGTTTGTAAGCAAAACATTCTTATCTAAAAAATGTGTGGTTCGTTTATACTTGTTTCCCGTAGAGGGTACACTAGATTCGTCGGAATGTATGTAAGAGGTAGAAGGCAGCGTTTCCGACCCTATATAGTGTATATATTCTTGATCAGGATCCCTAGGAAAGTCGAACTTGAAGAACTAGCCATGTCCGTCCATCTAACTCTGTCTGTCCGTCCGTATAAACATTTTGAAGATTTTTTAAAAGTGTAAATGATATTTTGTTTAGATTATCAATATCCATCTACATGCCAAACATTTTCGAATTGGCCAGTCCAATAAAAGGTTATAAGCAAATGAAGGAAAAAAGGACGCCAGATGGCGCTGTTGCGAGAATAGCCATCTTGGGAACAGTCGCTTTGCTGCTTGCATATGCATATCTTTTTTTGCACTCCCCTCAGCCTAGTAACAGGTATCTGCTATTCGAGGCCATCTCTAGTTTTTTCATATTTTATTTCGATGACGTAAATCTGGATTTGCACAGCCCCTTATCAGCAGAATGGAATAGGATTTCTTCGAAAGTCATCAGCCAGATTACTTTCAGTTCGTTCATAACGATCACCTTGAGTGGTTTAAAATGTTGAAGATGGTATATATCGCCTGGAGCGCCCTAGTTATCCTGGATGTTCATGGAAACTTGGCGCCTCCCCAGAATATTAGAGGTTCCGTTTGCCTACTGGACGATCCTCCGAATCAGTGCGGCCCATACTGTCTCACCAAACTGCAACCGATGATCGAAAACATTCCTGAAACCAAGACAAGGCTGGACACTATTGAAGGCAATCAGCATCGGATGCAGGCAAAACTCCTGGATTTACAATCCAGTATGGAGGTCCAGCGAACAGGACTTCAAATGGAGCTAAACTCCCATTTTAAAGCCGTTCAAAACAAAATGGAAGTCCTGCACACAAAACTGGAGGGACTACTTCTGGCTGTAGAGAAAAGTCTGGACGACCAGAAAACATCTTTACTACACCGGCCGGAAAGACAACTCCAGGCACTTCATGTAAAAACCATATCCCCAAAGTTTCAACGGATTGGCTCTAGGTACTTTTATATTGAAAATAATATTAAATTAAATCAAATATCAGCTGGCATCGCATGTCGTGAGATGGGCGGCCATCTGGCGTCAATTAAAGATGAGGAGGAATATAGGGCCATTACAGCGAGAACTCAAAAAAAGACCTATTATCTCCTTGGCATCAACAATCTGGAAAATGAGTATCTGTTTAGATCAGAAGCTTCCGGCAAGTTAGCCACATATTTACAGTGGGCGCCAGGATATGCCACCAACTTCAATGGATGTGTATATCTCTGGAGCGATTTCATGTATTTATATAGCTGTTACGATACTGCATATTTCATTTGTCAGTCTGACAATGAAATATAATAACCCAATACTTGCTTTTCTTTTGAATCTTAATGATCAGATAACAGTTACTAAAATATATTAAAATAAATAAATAATAAAATAAACATTAACAGATATAGCCTTAACATGTTTATTAATGTTTGTTATGTACTGAATTTATAAAAGAGCATAACAAATATATATATTATTGAAAAATAATCTTTTAATATTATTATTTTTTCTGTTAGGTACTACGATTGTGAACCTTTTGATGCGGCAGCCATTGGGAATTCAGAAAGGACTGCCTTTGAGGGCAGAACAAAAGTTGGCTGCCGCAGTTGAGGGCCAATTGAGTGTGGCATAATTTGATGGTGTGCACTCCTGGCTTCCCCGCTTTCCCGCTTTTCCGCCGGCTCGCCCCGCACATTTTCCCCACTCATTTTCCGGGACTCATCAGAATGCAGTTCATGCAGAGAACGTCGGACGCTGCATTGACAACTCTTTTGCCGATGGCCCAACTTTCGTATTTATTGTCACTTAGCCCGGGTCCTGAAGGGGTTGACATGCCAGGGGCGGGACGGGGGGACCTGACCGAAATTGGTGGTTTTGTAAAACCTGCCAGAGGACCGAAGGGCGAATTCCCTGCCCCGCAGTTTACAGCTTACAGATTGCACATTGTCTCCAGGTCCATCTATTTTCCCCCACTGCCCTTGAGACACTTGCGGCCATATGCATTGATAGTTGATTGCAGGTCCTGCAGCGAGCAACTCCGAGCAGGACCATCCTGGGCCAGGACCATCGCAGCCGAAGGATTTTAATTGATTTCCATGGCCGACTGCGCTCTGTCTTAGCCATCAACTATCTCTAATGCCGCTTGTGGTAAGCCCTCTTAAATTTCATTTATGCATATGAAATAACGAGGCTGTCTTTGCTTTTTCCCCATCTCCATGCACACTTTACAAATTATCAATAAAGTACATGCCGCTTTCTCAAAATATTTGAAAAAATACTCTCAAATTGCAGTTTGAAATTATTATACTTTAATTAATTTCAAGTCATGCATAATTATACCCTTGCAGAGGCGAGTCGATCTAGTGTCCATGTCCATCTGTCCGTTTCTATTTTTTCAGAATTTCGAATTGAATTTTAAAAAGTTGTACAACTAATCATATAGCTACCATAGGAACGATCGGAAGAATAATAGGAAACTAATTACAGCTTCGTTATTTTTGATCATATTCTCTTCAACTTAATTTACTAAATATTTCACAACTACGAATTAAATTTGATAAAAATCTGACTACTATATCATATAGTTGCCATAGAAAGGATCGCAAAATTATGTCAAAATAATACATAAATCGTTATATTTCGTTATCGGCAAAACATATACGCTAGAAAATTGTAATGTAACGTTATCCTAATATTTCAGTGATTATTTTAAATTTTCCTAAAATCGTAATGCTCTGATTTTGCAAAACTACGATTGAAAAACCGCGGAAAAGGAGTACTTTGTGTTAATATTCGAATACATTTTTTTTCCGCTCTAGTGATTTGGCTGTCTAATTTCTAATAAAAGTTAGAATGAAGAATGTCGTATCTTGTAGTTTTATTTTTAAGCCACTAGCATTCAAGCCTGGAAATTTCTCAGTTTTTGGCATTTTTTGCAAAAAACATGATGCTCATACCATCTTTCATCTTCACTTCTTTTAATGCCAGGCCTTTTCTGCAAAATATAATCCGCTTACACCTAAACGAGATCAAGGTATCGGAATCTGCACCCTTTCACAAAAACATCTCGAAAATATACAATTTTGTTTCATAGCTCATTATGTTTAGAAAAATACTGTTCCCCTTTAAAAAATATAATAATTTAAAAACAAGGAAGAACGCTATAGTCGAGTACCTCGACTATCAGATACCCGTTACTCAGCTATATGGAGATATGCAAGCAGCAAAGCGAGATTAAAATGCGCCATCTACCGGCGGAATACAGATTTAAGCGATATGGGCGTTAGAGTGGGCGTGGCAAATTTTTTTTTGGATCAATCGATAGGTATCGACGAGACCAATACATTTCAGTTAAAATTTTTCATCTAGTATGAAAATTGTGGGCGTCACAGGTTTTCGCGGTTTGTGGGCGTTAAAGTGGGCGTGGCAAACTTTTTTTTGGGTCAATCGATAGGTATTGATGAGAACAATACATTTCAGTTAAAATTTTTATTCTAGCATCAAAACTGTAGGAGCCACAGTTTTGGGCGGTTTGTGGGCGTTAGAGTGGGCGTGGCACTCTGCTGAAACAAACTTGCGCTGCGTAAAAAGCTCAGGAATCTGCACGCCAAATCTCAATAGCCTAGCTCCCATAGTTTCCGAGATCTCAGCGTTCATCCGGACGGACAGACAGACGGACAGACGGACAGACGGACAGACGGACAGACGGACAGACGGACAGACGGACATGGCTAGATCGACTCGGCTAGTGATCCTGATCAAGAATATATATACTTTGTGGGGTCGGAAACGCTTCCTTCTGCCTGTTACATACTTTCCGACGAATCTAGTATACCCTTTTACTCTACGAGTAACGGGTATAAAAAATGAAATTAAAATTAAATTGAAAAAAAACAAGAGCAAAATAATTGGTTCAAAGTGTAAAGCGTTTACAATTTATAATGTGGTGAGTTTTTTTAACTATATAATTAATATAAAATCTAATCGTTTGTATATTTCTAGAATTTTGTGTTATTTTGGAATGCTTTACAAACTTTTTGTCGAATGCAAGAGGCAAAGACGCCAATGTTCGTTGGGTTTGAGGTGGTTTTCGGACCGGCTGACGTGCTGGTCGACTGCCCCTGTCCTAGTCCACACGTGGATGGGGGGCTGGGTCCAGGAAACTGCCACATTTCGGGTCTATCCTCAGTGCATTTATGCCGTATAAAGGACCTGCAGTCCCTTGGCACTTTCGCTGGGCGATTTGCAATTTTGCAATGATTATTCTGAGCATGTTCCTGCCTGGCCAACGGCCACCTTTCAACCTTTCACCTTTCACCTTTGGGCCATTCAGCCATTTGGCCAGGTGCTCTTGCTCTGCAGCTCGCTCCGTTTTGCGGCAAACAAAGCCACAAATATGCACTAATGACGTCGTCAGCTGCTGCCACTCCTGCCACGCCCCTCGTCCACTCGCCCCATTGCCTTGCCAACTGCCGCCCCCTGAATTTCCCCAGTTTTCCCCCAAAAATTTCCCAGCAAACTGCAGCAATTGTTTTTGGAGAGCTTGAGTTGGTCGAAGGTGACAAAAAGTCTGAACTCATGCGTGCTGTAAGCTGCTAGTCGGCGTACAGTGCGTTTCATGGGCATAGGTTTTGGACCCAAGCTGTCTGAGTGACAGACCTCGAAAAAGGAATAAGGTCCTGCAATTTTCTGAGGCTTTAAGGCCTCTTGGGTAAGGCACAAAAAAGATAGTAAAAATCAGGTATGGCTTAGTATTTGAATGTATCACTCACTAAAAGAACCTAAAATTCTTGACATGTACAATGTACATATTATCTTTGAAAGTCTTCTCAAACTATAATAAATTTCTTGATTTCAAAAAATATGAAAAAAATAGTTCTGTGGATTAATAAAAAATTTTGAAATCTAGAATTCCAACAATTTTATATACTGGTACATGAAAAATTAAAAAAAAAATGTACCTATGAAATTAAAGAATTGAAATTTTCTTAAATTAATTGGTCGCTCCCTAAGCCATTTTGTATCTTTGGATGTGCTTTTCCTTTACTATTTTAATTTACGAATTTTTTTAAATGTTTTTTTAACCTTAGATACTGAGTCAAAAGGGCTGGATTTTCCCATTTTCCTCCACGATGACGGATCTATAAGAGAAGTGGTCAGAAATCCTTCGGTTTCGTTTCTTTTCTGACTCTTTTGGTGGCTTTCACACGTACGTGATTTTTCTCATTTTGCTGCATTTATTTTCTGTGTGTTCGATTTACGACCCATGGCGTGGGCGTGGCCGGGGCGGGGGGCGTTGCGGAAAGAAGGAGGCGTGGCAGCGATCCAAACGTGCCTCGAGACCAAAAGGGGAAAATACAGCTGAAGACTGTATTTCCGGACTGGTTAAAGATGCAGTGTTGCACATGGCGAACGACATGTTGCTCGCGGGATGTTGCATGTTGCATGCTGCTGGCGGGAAGCGGCACGCTGCCAGTTCCTGTTGCACATCCCAGAGGTGCAGCTAATTAGGGGAAGCGCCCAATAGGCCGGCGAACGGAAAGCACAGTGCAACGGAAGCGGAAAATGCGGAATGTGACAGGCTCATGCACTGTTAGCAAATTTGAGCTAACAGAAAATGGAATGTGTAATCATTTTTGTAATGTTTCGAATGGGTTTGAATTATAAAAATTATGGAATTGCAACCAATATTAGGAAATATTACCTACAAATTTTGTAGGACCAAAGGACTTAAAAAAACGAAAGTGTCACTTTAAATATAATATTGTGGTCCTGTTCTCTTGAATATAACTTTTACAAATAAATTACTGTTTAGTCCGGAAAATATTTAAAAAACTACATTTTTTAAAAAAGTTACTTATTAAAAAGGACATCAAAAATAAAAAATATCCTTAAATAAATATAAAAATAAATGAAATCCCACATTAAGTCCCACTGGACACCCCTTATTTTTTGCCGTGTACTTTTATCAGGCACTTGCAGCAGCGGCGAACCATCTGCAACTGAACCATCTCGTGCAACTGACTCCGCCAAAAGTTTCCGGGAAAGGAGGACCCACCAACTCTTTGGCAAACAAATTGCAAGGAAGTTGTTGCAAAATGGCAACAGGAAAAGTAAACACGCACCGGAAACGGGGAAAAGTGGGAAAAGTTGGAGGGCGGGGGTCGAGCAGAAGGGAAAATGTGGGGGACGCGCCACTCGAGTTGATCAAAAAGTTTTCCCAGGTTTCTACCTCGGCTGCTCCTCGAAGATAACTGCTAACCAGCGACTGTTTACTGCTGACAAGCGGTCCGAAAAGTTGGACTTAGATGGTGGCAAACACCGCGATACCCCTTAAAAATATTTTGAGAAATAGTTTGGCACCGATTTGCTACAGAAATGGTAAATCTAAAATATATTCACTTTTTTTCCTTGCGGAAAAATATCACATATTATAATTTAAGTACTGTAAAACTAAGAAATGTATTTTACTCATACATTAAATTTTGTTTGGTTTCAGCCTCAGTATAGTTTATAAATTCCAGATCGGGGTCACCAAAAACATACTTCCCTAACAACATAAAAGCCAGATACCTTCCTAGTTAAACTTGTTTAATAACCGTCCACTTTTTAATTTATTGGGTGATCATTAAGTACACTATAGGTCAAGTTAGGGATCCATTGGTATAGGTCTGGGTCACCATTCAACAAAATATTTGATCGGTATTTGTGAAAAAGTGTTAGTGATAAGAAATAAAATTAAAACAGTGACCTCTTTATATTTTATTGCTTGCTTATAATTTGTTGTGTTCCCTTTTCAATCCGTTTACTTTTGTTCTTTCCCTGAGGGTTAAAGTTTCTCAGTCACACATGGACGTAGTGCCACTTAAAGACCGCATTAACACAATGTCAAAATGTTAAAAGGCGTGATTTTGCCACCTAACTCGTAGGGTGGCCCTGAAAAAGGGGGTGGTGCAATGGCACAAGAGCCGAAAAGCAAATGGGGCAATGCAGGGGGGGTGTAGGACAAACAAACGCAGTGGCACCCCCCTTGCCATACCCCTTTTGACTGCCTTGATGATTGAGTGAACTGCCACATGGCAGCACAGAGTCAAAAGTGCAGAGGCGGGGGGCTAAAAACGGTGGAAAAGGGGGCTGCGAAAAATAGTAGGAATATGGGGGAGCAACAGCACGTGCTGCAGACAGTTTGACAAAAAAGCTGTGGCTCCCCCCTCTTAAAAAAATAGAAAAAAACAACGAAAGACGAAGCAGGTAATGCCCGGTATCAGTGACAGGATTTAAACGGATTACAACAAGGACAATCGAGTTAGCACGGCACATAGAGCATGGGACCCGGGTTTACCTTCTGTCTTCTGCCGTTTGCCTTTTAACCCATCGCCCCCACATTCCCCTCTCTATTTCTTGCGCTGCGGGGCATTTCCTCCGATGGTTAGGACTTCCGGTACACCGAGGAAAACGAAAAACTTTTTGAATAATTAAAAAATTATAAAAACTTCCTAAAATGTTTATAACAGTAAAGTATTTCTTTTAAATGGCATTCAAAATATGTGTTCTTTAAGCATTTGCATTTCTAAAAATGTAATAATTATACATTTTTAATATTTTAATTCTCACCTTGCTTGGATTATTATTTAGAAATAAATGAATAAATAATATACCTACATATATCTTTGATTTTGAATTTAAGAACTAACATAGTCTCCCCCTATTTCTCGCTGTGTACGAACTTAATGTAAGATAAACGCCACAGCTGCCGTGGCCAAAAGCCCAGCTGGTTGACTGATGCCCATGATGGCGATGGCAAAGATGAGGTGAGGCATCCCTGGATGCGGATGCGGATCAGGATGAGGATGATGATGCAGATGCAACACCGACACCGACACCGAAAAGAGTTGACCAACCGCAGGCGCCTCTAATTAATGGCGCAGTGCCAGAATTGTGGAAGGAGGGGGGGCAAATACTCACAGTGTATGCTGAGGGAGATGCGCTTTGAAACCGATGGGGGCACTCCATTGGAGGCGATGCACAGATAGGAGCCCATCTCGTTCCTCGAGATCTTTGACAGCTTCAGCACCTCGCCGCGAAACGAGGGGGCTGCAGGTGGGCGGAATAAGGGAAAAGCGGGTTAAACAAATAGGTTTTCCCGCGGGAAAAGCACTCATTGGCAAGAGAACTACTTACCCAGGGTCTTGGTGCCCACATTGTCCTTCAGGACAATCTCGTTGCCGTCCTCTCGTCGCCAGGTGACAATCGGTTCCGGATAGCCACGGGCCCTGCAAACACAAGGCGGTTAAAGTACAGTAAGGGCTCGCTAAAAGTATTCCCATGTCCTGGGAAAATTTATAAAATTAAATCAATTCTATGTCAATTTTATCATAATCAAAAGTATCATATAGAATATATATTTTATACGACACACATAAGGTAAATTAAGAACGGACATATGGAAAGTACTAGAGCTTGGAAAACATCGATGGTGTTTTGGCTATCGATTGTGAGCACCATCGAAGTTATCGATACTATGGAAAACTGTTTTAAATTTGGAGAAAATAAGTAAAGTGGTGATTAAAACTAAGAAAAACTGAATTAATTTTATAATAACATTTAATTAAAACAGAAATAAAATAAAGTATAAATTATTTACTTGAAATATCCCTCGTTTTTTTATCAGTTTTAAAACCATCGATAATATCAATAGAGTTGTCGATTGATTTACAAGGCCTTATAAAAAACAATTAAAGACGTTGTTCGGTAAAACCTTTGGTATCTTAAACGGGAACATCAGCCCCTGAGGATCGGAAAGCATTTAAGAACCCATAAACAATAAAACAACTGGCCACGCCCCCTCAATGTTGATGGTAAATGGAAAATGGCAAATGCCAAATGGAAAATATTCAAGTTCAGTGGCTTATTAAATTTAATATGACGATGCTTCAGCCGAGGACTCCATTGTGCCCGAGTTGGAGCAAAAACTTTTATGCAACGCAAGGACGGGGCGGGAAAGTGGAAAAGCGGAAAAGCAGGCAGGCAAAACGCTTGAAGCAAGCAGGCGCTCAAGTGTGCGGTGCAGTTGGAAAAATGTCGGAAAAATCACTTGATCGACGTGAGCACTCTTCTCCATAGAAGATATAAATAAAACAATTCGTTACCCACAAATTAAGGTTTAACAAAATATTTGAAAATCATAAAAAAAAAGTTGTTGGTTTTTCATTTAACCAATAAATACTGCTTCCTAATAGCGATACTTCAGTTGGTCCATAACAATTTTTAAATTATTTTAGCCCAGTGACTTTCTTCAGTTACTCGCTTAACTAATATGCCCCCAAAACACTCAGAAAGTAGAGGGTATTTCGAGGAGAAATGCGTGTTAAGACAGCAGTTGTTCAACAGCAAACCAGACACGGGTGTGGTAAATTTTTATGATGCCGCAAACAGATGCAAAATGGCTAAAAAGAAAACCAGCCAGCACACAGATACATAGATACATAGATACACAGATACTCCAATACACAGGGCCAAGACAATGGGCCAACAGTTAGCAGTCAGCGGCAGTTTCTTGGCCATATTTAGTCGGGCCAAGACAGTGTTTTGTCTCTTTGGCCGGTTTTGCCCCAACTAAATGCAATTTACATAACCCAAAGACGGCTAGACAAAGCAAATTTCTTATTTAACAACTCATGGACCGACCCTCGCTGAATGACCTTCTTTGGTTTGTTATGGGAAAGCTATTTTTCTTTAATCTCACAGATTGTAAATGTGTCATTGGCTAAAGTTTAAATTTCTCTTTCATAAACTTAATATTTCCTAAAATCTGAATGTGAATTTTTAAATATTTAAATCTAATAAGAAACCCTTTTAGTTTCACCTCGGGAATGTTATAAATAATTTAATAAGCCTGAATAGCAAGTGTGTAACTGCAGCAAGTTTTATTAGTCGAAGCTTTTAATGTTTGTTGCGCCAAAGTTGAATTCATTTTAAGGGATTTACACTAAGTGGCATTAAAACCGGACGGAAAACAAAAGAGGAAATTCGCAGACAAGTCCTCTAATAGCTTTCCACGCTCACACATTAACACATGGAAAAGCGGGAAAACCGCGCTTATCGCCATCGTTTCATCATTTTGTGGTTAAATCGTTAAAAAAAGAGAGCAACACTTCGTGGTTGCGGTCAAGTTCATAAATCAGCCACCAAAAACCAACCCCACAGAACCCCAAACACAAATTAGAGACCCTAATGCCGTAATACCCCTTAAAATGGCTCGGGAAAATCGGTCATAGAGCGTTAACAGTCTACACATAATGTATAAAAAAACCCTCTTGGATTTGACTTCTTCGGCGAACTAACATACCCATCGGGCTTAAATCCCAGGATGGCCAAGGAGTTTCGGTGCTAAATCAAGAGAAATGAAGTGTCACTTAATTTGTTGACATTATTACACAGAAATAGAATGAAAGTTGTGAAAAAGAGAGATGGATATGGAAGATGGCGAAAGGAAACCGACTTTCAACAGTTTAAGTTGAAACTAAAACTGTAAGTTAAAGTTTCTAGAAATAAATCCAGCTTTATAATGTTTAAAACTTATTTATACGATGCAGACGATGGGAGTTAACAACTTAAGTCATCATGGCACATTGCTTAAAACGCTTCTTTAGCTTTTTATCGCAAACAAATGTATATATTTCTCCTTTGGTTTGGTAAAAGATTACCTTTTCTTAGGATTGTAAGGACCGAAGCTAAAACCATACACGGTACATACTCACCGACATGTCAGTCGCACGGAACTGCCCTCCGGCACAATCACATCCGAGGAGGTGTCCTCGCTGATGAAGTCCGGCGGAATCACGACGTCCAGGAAGCCAATCTGCAAGTATCAAAAATAAGACGGGACAGAAACATTAGCACGCAGCGGATTTCATTCCACTTACTTAAATATCGCAAATTGCTAAGGGGACAAGTGCGCATCCATGTGCACGGTGAGAAAAATCTAAACCTTCTAGCCACATATTTAAGAGCCTAATGATCTAGTTGACTTGTCATATTAAAAATATTATTTAATCCTTCCACGGCGAAAATATCAGGAAATATGCACATTCGGATAATGAGATGAATATATTATATTATAAAAATTAAATATTAGAACTGGAAAATAAATTATGCAGAGCCCGTAGAAAAATATGTAAAAAATAAAGTATTTTGAAAAAGAATAACAGAAGTGCTATATAAAAAATAATTGCTTTGTCACACTTCTTCCTTAAATAATCTCTTAATGGTGAAATATACTAAATATAGGTCAAATATATCACATAATAAAATAATTTTAGTTAATATTACAACTTAACGAAAAATTAGGCAGATCCTTTAAAAAAATATTACAAAACTTTTGAAAACATCGTTTTTAAAGTCAAAAGGGGAATATAAAAAAATATAATTATAAATACATTATGCATAACCTCTAAAAAATATTACAAAACCTTTTAAAACATCGTTTTCAAAGTCAAAGGGAAATCGAATTGCTAGATAAGCCCCGATCATATTTTCCCAGTGTACACTTGGCGAAAATTCGCTGATTATGCAAGTGGCTCGTAAAGCAGGAGTAACGGCAAAGTGTTTTATATGGCGGCTGGTGAGTAAAGCGAAGTGATGTCGAATAAACTAAGAATAAACTAAGCCAAGGTAAATAGTTTAAGACACATGAGGGAGGGGGTGTGTGGCAAAGTGGGGGGGGTGGGCAGTGCGGTGCACTTTGACCCGACTGCTATTGTTTTTGTCGTTGTTGTGAAAAGCGTAAAAGTGCAAATAAAAATTAAGGAAGCATGAAATACATTTTATTGGCACCATAAACTTCACTTCGCTGGACACACGAGTGTACGTGTGAGCGGACACACCCACACACACGCCGAAAATCATCCACACAGCCATGCGAAATTTATGTATGTGTGCGTACATGATGCTGCCAATTTATATGCCCCAACATTTTCCTCCGTTTTCCCACCCCCTCCTCCCCCCGTTCTCTCATAGTTTTCGCTTTCGATTTGCTGCGCTTTCTTTTCCCCAAACAAGCAGAAGAATAAGTGGGTGGAAAATGTGGGAAATCGACGGGGGGTGAGACGGTGAAAATGGTGGAAAACAAACAATAACAACGGCAAGTACAACAGCTCAATGCATTCGCATTTTCCTTCACCGTTTAATGCCGCATGAGGGAATGGTTCGGAAAATGGGAATAACATTTTCACAACAACGTTTAGAAACAGATGAGGTTGTGCAAATATCATGAATATAAAATATGAATCGAAAAGCTGGCTATTAAACTAATCAGCGTTTAAACTTAAATAAATTTTAAATACTTTAGGCCTGAGGATGTTTATTTTTAAAGTATTGCAAAGATTAAAAAAATTCACTCTTTATTAAACTCCCACAGTGCACTCCACTGCGTATACGTAATATATTTTTGTTAAGTACACGCCACTGGTTAAGTATACGTAGTGGTGCCCGAGAAGGCAATCAACTCACCTGGCTTTTCATGGGATCCGTGTTCAGTTGGCACATGTAACCACCGCGATCTTCCTCGGAAACCGCTTTAATGTGCAGATTCCACGTGTTCTGGTCCAAATGACTGACCGTGACACGGGGATTGTGCGTGATCACGTTCTCGTGAATGGCCTGGATGGCCTTGGTGTCGGCCTTGAGCCAGCCCACCTGAATGCAAAATGTAAATAATTGAATTGCTTTAAAAATCTTGTTATTTAAGGGTAAATTTAATAATGTTTGAAGAGACGACTTGCATTTAAAGATGTTTTAGAAGAGATTTTCATACTAGCTAAACCTTTTAAATAATGTATGTATCAAGAAATAAATTCAACAATGATTTCCATATATAAATATTTCTTAAACCAATATACATTGAGTCTATGATTTGTAAAAGGTTTTCCCTAAGTCATTTAATAACTTTAATTTAATAATTTATACAAATATAAATACAATTAAGGAATATTTTTAACGATGGCTTAAAACATATCAATCATTGGAACTTTTTTTAAGCCCATTTACATTGTGTTTAAAATTGTTGTTAACATATAAGGGAAGAGTAGGAGTCCTTTCCTTTTAAAGGAATTAAAAATAATTATAGTTAAAAACGTATAACTAAAAACACTCCCTTTCCTTATATGTTTGTTTGTTGTTTTCGGTTTTAATTTAAACAGTAGCTCACTTATTAATTCATTTTCTTAGATACTGGATTTTTTTCAGAGTGTACCCTTAACTATTGACTTACCCGATAGCCGCCCAAACGTCGCACGTGACACGTGAAGGTTGCATCGCGTCCGACGGCCACGGACACGTTGGAAATGCTCTCCACGAACTCCGGCTGAAAGGCGCCAATGGCTGTAAGGACAAAAAGAAAAAAAAACGGGGGCGAGATTAGAGCTCAGCGGTGTGTGTATGGGTGTGCATGGGTGTGTGGCAGTTAATGATATCGCGCCAGTTCACTGGCAATGCATTCCCGCGAAATACCCACCCAAAAGCAGCAGCCCCACCTCCCATGTTGCGCCTGCCAAAAAGTCCGTGATTTATCGTTTTTAAATGTGCCCCAAAACCACCCATCCACCTATCCACCCACTGCACTCCGGCCTTGCCAACAACTTAACTGTGCCAGACGACCGGCGGCAGACGATTTAAAGAGCTGCGGCGGCTAATTGAAGATCGACATCCGGCTGCACTATGACTACGGCACTCCGGCTCTCCGGGAAACGAGAATCCGGAGTGCGGACAAAAGTTCGGATACGGATACGGTTACGAATGGAAATGGAAATGGGCATGGGCATGGGCATGAGACGGGGGGCACACGCAAATATAAATAATTTATTGAATCATCGAAAATCAAACATTTCACTTGCAAGTGCTGCAAAAAAGTTTTCCAGGCCGTAAACGCAAAAAGGAAAAAATCCGGAAGTGTGAGTAAAATAGTCAACAGGGTAAATACACTACCTATTAACACTAGGTATATAAGGATATTTTATTCAATTAAATATATTGAATATTTACTTTAGCCTCTTAATTAATTATATTTACTGTTATTAAAATTAAATTAAATCATTATTATTTAGAGAATTTTTTATGATACCCTTTCTTTCTCAAGTAAATATGGGAATCCTATTTAATTAACTGTCGTTTCATTTATAAAACCAATGGAAAATAGTTCTCCATTCCTGAATTCTTTCTTAAATAAATTTATAAATAATATTTATGTACATTTATATTTATTTAAATATTTATGTATGATTTTCTAGACCATTATTTACTAGACCAATGAAAATTTGTTGCGCATTTCTGAATACTTTCTCAAACAAATATAGGAATAATATATTATTAACTGAGATAATTTCTGATACCTTTTTTTAACATATAGGAAACCTAAAATGAGTTGCAGTGTCTTATTAATGAAAATTGATACAAATTTAAAATGAAACCTCCGAGGAGTCGATCTGAACTTATCGTAGAAGCCGAGGGACCCCTTGAAGGGGCATGGAAAAAATAATGGAACCGAAGGAGGTTAGTCAGGACTAATGGGTGGAGTGGATAAAGGGGGTCCACCAGACAGCAGCAGCCACGCACGACTGTCCCGGCTGTCCTGGCCGCAAAATCCCCCGAAAGCCCCTCCACCGACGTCTACATCATCGTAATGCATGCAAAAAACTTTTGGCAAACTTGAAATTTAAATATTTATAGACAGTACCATTGGCTCACGAACGGATTGCCGGGGATCGGGACCGAATATTGTGTGTAGAAATATATATCCCCATATATATATATATATATGTAAAGTGTAGGGCGAGATGTACTGAGGAATGTGCTGAATTGACTCAATTGGCCAAAGGCATGATTTATCGCACTTTCGGTGACTCTGTGTGCCTGCCAAATGCAAAACGGAGTCCCAGGAAGTTCTACAGTTGATAATCTGGATAATCTACTTGCCGGCCACAAGCTAAAAATATTCCAGCAAGTTTGTGTGGGCAAGTGAATAAATTCATTGCTGGATTAATTGCTGCAACGCATTTAATTCGGGACCGAATTGATTGAATTCATTATTGATTTATTGGCAAATTCGATGTTGAATAGCCCGCAAAGTCGTGAGTGAGAAACAATGGCTGTATTAACAAAGAACAATTTATGGCTGCATTTAAAGTGTGCGGAAAGTGTTTGGCTTTTATGAAAGATTTTATTGGTGGATTAATTGATTTTTTAAAATCATAATAAATGCATTTACTCGTAAGTGAAGCTACAATAGCAAAAAAATTTAGTTTTGCAGAAAACTTGTATTGTTTAAGTGGATAAATAATTGATCAATTTTGTATTTCTTTATGGCCTAAGTAAAGTAATTGTTTATATATTAAGACGTTTTTAAATATGTTTTTAAAATCTGTTGAATTGACAAATAGTGCTCCCATTTATTTCTAAACAATATACTTGGATTAAGTTTTGAGTGCAGAAAGCTCGGAGATTCGGTTTTAGGAAGTCGGCAACCACTCGGCGGGGAAGGGCCACCCTAAAGCCAAAGTGTTGTGGGTGCGGACAGTACAGTGGAGCCTGGCTTGCGGCAACCCCTCTCTCCCGATCCTCTGGCAAAAGGCAAAAGGCAAATGGCAAATGCTGTTGCTGCTTGGCTGACTGCGGCTTGTTTGTCAATCTGTCGTAGTGTCTGCAAGCATGCGAAGATGTTTTGCAGCATTGTGCCAATCCCAATGAACTTGTCGCCCCCCCCCTGGAAAAACACCTCCCACCACCCAGTTGCTTGTGAACTTTGGCCTGACTACTGGTCGTGGGTCAGCCTCCTTGGAGCCTTTCTGCCGGGCATTTTCAGAAGCCAAGCCAGAGTCGATTAACCCCCGACTTTCGTCCACTCAAAATCCAACATCCAAAATCCGAAATCCAAAATCCAGGTCCCCCGCCTCATAAATCTCCGCCTTCATTTCAATTTTCGGCCCCACCATACCGAGCAGTCCTGTCAATTTTTGGCTCACATCCCGAGGCTCCTGTTCGCATTTTCGCATTTACTCGGGGAAAAAGTTTAAATCACACAACGACAATGAGGATTTGCCGAAGCAAATTTATGGCTAAGGACATTGGCAAAAGTTAAGCAAGGAAAGGTATTAGTTTTGGGTGGCTGGGTGGTTTTATATATACCTATATGTATTTACGTATGTGTGGGTGGCAAGGTGAACACACACGATTCGATACAAAGATGCCAATCTGCATGGGAATGACAGTGGGGACTGGAACTGGGGACCAACAACTTTGATTTTGGCACTCTGAGAAAATACTCTATAAATATTTGAAACAGGGGAGTGAAAACTAAACCGTATAAAAATAATGTTTAATTTCCGGTTCTTTTAAAGTTTTATAAAACTAAGGATATTCTAAACAGCTTTAAAAGACTGGTCTCTAATAATGATTTTGGACCATCAAAAAAGTCCAATATAATAATTTTAATACAATTTTAAATGAGGCAAAATATTCCGATATATGCATACTGATAAATACAGATTCCACAAAATATTAGTGGTATGCCAATTTAAAATCGGACTATATTTTTTTAGGGCCACTTCTTTGCAAGCCAATTTAGAAATAGCTAAAAAAATATTTAAATATTTTTTTTTCTAATTTCAGCCAATTGAGAGATTTTGTAACAAATCGAAAACATTTCTCTCACTGCATGATGTCACCTTTTCCTTGGCCGTTCGCTTTTTATGGCCTCACACTTGAACAGGCCCACAAATCCAGTGGCAAAGCACCAATGATAGGTGATAATGGCAAATTTGAAAGGCAAACAGAGTGGGATTCGAATCTCGGACTTGGGTCCGACACCAAACTTAAATACAACAAACTGGGGTTGTCTTAAAGTCAAGTTTTGGCCAAGACAAACAAATGACTTGGGAGGCGAAACACAAAAATAAGGGGAAAAACAAGGAGATGCCTGCAAATGACTGTCGGTTGGCATTGAAATTAGCATTTTTACAAATCGTCGTCGGCTGAACTACTGCCAATTTCCCTCCTTTTTTTCTTGCGCAGAAATTCAATTTAAATTTCTCGGCTTTTCCCCTTTTGACCCCCCCACAAATGTCACGCAATTAATTGTGTCTTGATTTCTGTTTCACACTTTTGTGTTATATTTTTTGTGCTTTTGAAAAGGGTTTCACTTTAATTGAGAAAGTTTTCTGTTGGAAAAGACGGAACAATCTTCGTATTTCTCCTATATTATTTGAGGTTAAGTGACACTTTGTGGGAACACATAAAAATGTTGCCTATGATCTAAGCCTTTTTTAGCCAATAACACATTGCATGTCAAAGAAACAAATTTTGTTTATTAAATTACAATTTCCATTTTTATTAAACCTTTTGTAAGTCCCTGTAAAAAGGTGTTATTTTAAATATTTATGCTGGCATTATTATTTTTTATTCGTATCTACCGTAAAACCTTTTCGACCTTTAATCCTCTTGTGATTCTGTAACTTCAATATCCGTTTTTTCACCCATTTTCGGATTTTATTCCTTGGGCGTCACATATAATTAATTACAAATTACGCGCATTTTTTGGCATGGAGCAACTTTCCTCGCAGGAAAAGCTGGGAAAAAAACTAGTAACTCCGTCTGCGGCTTTTCCCGCTGACCGCAGGCGCTAAAAGCCGAAGAACCGACGACGAAAAAAACGTGAATAAATGCAGGATAAAGGGACTTGAAAGTTAAGACTTAAAAAAATAATCAAAGAGTGTATATGCACAGGGAAAAACCGGTCTGTGATATGACGATCTTTTTAAAATTTAATTTGCAGGTTGCTGTAGAAAGGGTTATAAATTCACTTTGAAGCATGCCTAGAAGTATGCTAGAAAATATTTGGTTCAATGCATATTTTTAGACACCTTTAAATTTCTTCATTAATTATAATAAACCAATTGTATTTTAAAGGAACTAATAGATATAAATGTATGTTTTTTTGCAAGTGAATATTTTATGTTGTGCATTCTCGTAAAAAATCATGGTTACTGATTTGGCTTATATCAAAATATAATTTAAATAAATTAAATTAAATAAAAACAAACATTGCAATGAAATATTTCGTGCATAAAAACCATAGTTACTGATTTCGCTGGCACCCCTTTTTTATATTAATATTGAAGGTTCATCATTATAATAACAAAATATAATTTAATAAATTAAATAAAATAAATATTACAATGGAATATTTTCTCATGGTTACTGATTTCGCTGCTATCTTAATCATTACAATATTTAAGGTTCATAGTTATCATACCAAACAAGAATTTAATACTTTCAGTAACAAATAATTATTTCTACGGAATATTTCGTATTTTCCGTACACAAACTTCAATGTTACTAAATTCGCTGCCACCCTTTATCATAATAGGTGCATAGGTGAAGGTTCATAGTTATAACATCAAAGTAGAATTTAAATAAAGAAAATATGGCAACAGAATTGTGTTTCATCATAATGATATTTATGGTTGATAACTACTATCAACATATAATTTAAATAAAAATAAATACTGGAGTGGACTGTTTCGTATTGTGTTCCCGTGCATAAAAATCATGGCTAGTGCCGGTGTTGTTGGTATCAATTAAGTCACTCGGGGGACAGCAACAAAATGGCCATTAATGGCGCTATCTCGCTCCCGCCATTTGGCCATATTGCGGTTTAGCTTACATTTCACATCCGGTGGGGGCATTTCGGTGGGTGGGCGGATTGGGTGGTCTCACGGACGATGTGTCCTATTTGGCAATTAATTTGCATATCATTGATATGCACACACAGCAAACAAACGCACACACATGCACATTATATTTGCTTAGGATTATTATCGGTTATTAATGTTGCTGTAATTGAAAATTATTTTCACTTTTGTGTTTATCATTATCAGCTGCATCGTACAACATCCTACAACCCATCTGCGGCATTATCGTCGCATGGGAATTATTGTTTGCCGTGATTTAAGTGCTTTAAATATGCACATCTGCATGTATTTAATATTTATGCGGGCCCCGGACGAGGCGTGGGCCACGTCCATGCATAATTATCAACTTTATGGGAATAGTCATGGTACTAGTCGCACTTTTTTGCGGCTTCGTCGGGGGGTTTTCGCACCATTGACACATGTAAAATTATAGATTTGGATCCAAAGAGCCGACAGCTTATGCGCTGGTTTTCCCATCATTTCTGAACTCATGTCTAACATATTTGTGCTTCAAATAAAATAAGTTGTTTTGGTTATATTTTATTTAGCCAGGAACTCATGAGATGTTTTTATTTAACTTTAAATTGAGATGAAAGCCTTATTAATCTAAAAACTTGTATATTATGTTTGAAATAAGTTTTGTTACTCTAATTATATTTTATTTACCAAGAAGCCTTTAACATACTTGTGTTTTAAATAAGTTTAGTTGTTTTGATTATATTTTATAAAACCAAGAACTTATGAGATTTTTTTTATATAACTTTAAGTTGAGATGGAAACCTATTTCACATGGCAATAGGTTTTATTAATCTGAAAACTTGTAATTTATTTTTACATGGAAATAGGTACTATCAATTTAAAAACTTGTATAATATATAAGCCATTTAAATTTATCATCTCTTCAGAACTCATGTTTAACATATTTGTGTTTCAAATAAATGTAGTTATTTTGATTATATTTTATTTAGCCAAGATTTTTGGCCCAAGAACTTATGAGATGTTTTTATTCAACTTGGAAATTAGCAATGGATTCTATTAATCTAAAAACTTGTATATGCTTATAATGTATTTAGGTTTTTTATTTATATTTTAGATAGCCAAGAAATTATTTTGAAATTAAAATTGGAGAGATTAGCCTTTATTACTATCATTCCAAAAACTAGTATAATATTCGAGCCATTGAAATTTATATTCCGTTCTAAATTAAGTAGATCGCAGCAGACATTTAAAAATATATTCACTTCTAAATTAAGTAGACCGCATTGTAACATGACTTTTTCTTATAAAAATGTAGGCAGTTATAAGTAGTGGCTGGTCAATTAAATAGTTATGCAGTCATATAGCGGCTGATTTTCAAATTAGTTTGGTTTACTAGCCATTAAATGGACGACTCCCCTACCTCGGAGCATTGAAAGCCCCGCGCAAATCAAAATTAATGATACCATTTAACCGCATCGGCTGGGGAATAAAAACAAAGGGCCAACTGTTTTTAGAACGAATCGCAAACAATAAAGACCGTGCCGTAAATATTTAATGCGAGGAAGGAAAGTATTTGTGATTGTCGCGCCGACGTGAACAATTTGGCACTTCATTTTTTACAATTATCAGACGACGGGCAGACAATTGGGCCGACAATCACCGCCGGCCAGGTGAGGAAAATGCCGGGGAAAATCGCTGTAAACGCGGGGAAACTGGGCAAGGTGAAAGCATAATTTTTACACAATTAAAATGAGGCGGGAAATATGTGCGCACAATTGAGCGAGCAGACAGTGTGTCGCTAAATTATGCGACTGCTGGAAATAGTTTTATTTAAAAGTTTTAACATTTTTTTGTAAACTTTTTCGCTTGACTTGAAACATGTTATTTAATAGCATTTTAATCGTGAAAAAAGCGATAAGCTCTATATTTAAATGGGCCAAAATGCATTTATAAGCCGCTCTATAGTTTTGCAACATACTGTACAATCCCTTTGGCACGAATCGTGATATCAAAAGGATCAGCTCGCCAAATGTGAATGTAAATGTAAAGTGGATGAGTGAGTCAGTGAGCGAGTCAATTAAATCGCCATTGAATGGCCAGTGTTCAGTGTTCAGTTTGCAGTTTTCAGTTTTCAGTTTTCAGTTTTCGATGTTGCCCGTTGTCTTTTGTTTATTTATTTATTTGTTTGTTATTTATACGTTTTAATGCCAAATGGCAATTGGCAATGGCAACAATGCAGTGCGCAAAATGCGAAATGCGAAATGCAGAATGGTAGCCATGACAGTGCATTAAGCAGTCTCCAGCAGTTATTAATCGCCCGATTTTCCCGCTCTCCAACGTGGGGTGTTTAATAGACTCGCATTACGGCGAAACAATTATCAAGTCGGTTTGCGTTCAATTGCCCGCCGGGATGCGTCCGTCCGATTTCCGTTTCCTGTCCGACGCTGCACAACACTGATTACAGGGTTGCACTCAGGCGGAGAGAGGCCCCGATAAGCCCCTGATTAACCCCCGATATCTCCCGTAAGCCCTGTTCAAACGGATCTGGCCGGAAGCCAGCCCACTGACAAGATCTGCTTTTTCCCATGTTAATTCCTTGCTTCCACGGAATATGTTTAAATATAAATTAATTTAAAACCATTTGTATCAATTTTCATAATTATTGCATGAAAGTGCATTTTATTTAGGTGTATGCAGCTTATACTGCATTTATTTTATTAACTTGCCAATATTGAAGTCAGACTGTGTTTGACAAAGCTAATGCTGTATTTATTTCATCATCTTGTCAATATTGAAGTCACGTATTTTTATCTTTTGCAGTGAACAGATTTTTTCACGTTAAAACTTCAAAATCGCTTCTATTTTTTAAAATTTACAAATGTTTTCGTTTTATCAATTTTTAATTTCCTTTTTATTAAAATTCTACTTGATAAAACATTTTTGCGTTCCAAATATAAATAGCTTCATAAGTATGTAGTAAATTTTGTATTATATATAATTTGTACCTTTCCAAAAACGTTTAAAAAAGTATGGCATTACCACTATAAGCACTGCAAATGTATTTTGATGAAAATGTACATTATGTTTAGATTTTTTAAAATTGAAAAAGAATTTTAACTAAAAACTATTTTTTCACTAGGTGTTGTAGGCTTAAGGACTTTGAAACTTTAGATTCATAAATGTTCTGTTATTATTAAAAAATATACTTTTTATTTTTATATTTTTAGTAATTTTTTTTCTTTGCTAATAGGTAGAGTTCTTAAATTTTTGGTGGATAAAAAGGTTGTAAATTAACTGACCGAGAAAAATGTGTTAAGTTTGACGATAATTACAATTTAAGCCACTAAGTCGGAATGAAATATATTTCCCATTATACAAAATTGATAGTGCTAAAAAAAATTACAATATTATTTATTCATTTTTTGGTTAGCCCTTTAATTTGTAAGCCACATTTACAAGTGCAAAAATGTTTTACCCTTTCAGCTGAATTTGAGTACATTTTTTTCACTGTTCTTTCTTTGCCAAATTGAACACAGAGCTTTATTTAAAAAAAACACCTATGGATTGTTGGTTAGGTCGCATAATTGATTGGCAGTTTTCTAATTTCTAAAACGTTTCTCTAATTTGCTTTACAATTTCCGAAAATATTAATAATTTTTTTAATTTTTGATCGTATCTTGTAAAATGTGTTAGATTTGGCATCACACAATTTTAAGCAAGGGACCAATCCAGTTGGTTAAAACAAGCTTAAGTTTTATTAACTTGAATTATAGGATTCAAAAGTATCAAAAAATTTGACAGCAAAATGTACTATACTTAACGATTTAATAGAACATTGTCTAAGTTTGACTAAGTTAAATAAAAGAATTACAAATTTATTTAATATTTATAATCCACCTTCATTGTCTACTTTTGGTTTTTCCTTACATATCCCCACATTTTAGTTTCAGGAAATGTATTTAAAAACACTTAACATTTGTAAAGTTTCAAGAATATTTTTTTTGTGCTTGTTTTTCGTTACTCTTTCGATCCTTTTACCTTCCAGGAGCGAAACGACGATCAGCAGGTGGACTAGCATTTTGCCATTCCGATCGAACGTGGGGAGTGGAGAATTCCGAAATAACCGTTTCGCCGTGAATCGCATTTGGTATCAACAATTCCGCTGCGACATTTGCGATCGGCACGCGAACAGAACAGTTTCACTGCACAGAAAAAATTCAATAAAAAAATAATCACTCAAATGTGTGTGTTATAATGTTTTATTTTTATTATTTTTTTTATATTATATCAATTTCTATTTTAAGGACGCGAACAATCCGTGTTAGCAGCGAAGTTGCGAGAGGACCTTGCGACAGGATTCGAGTTCCGTGAGACCGTTTTTCAACCAGCCGACAGCGCCGCCGTTGATCAACTGAAGATGCAGCCGCCGGAACAAGCATCCTGCGGCCTCCTCCGAAACGACCTAGAACGAAGTGGCCGACCGTCCCGAAAGGATACGAATGGGGGACGAGGCCGCACGAAGTGGCGTCGTAACCGTTAGCCGTTGGATACTGTAAATCCGAACCGGCGCCCCGAAGCGCTCGGTGACGAAGCCTCGTTGCCAATTGTCGAAGTGGATGTTCGAATCGAACGCCGTCCACCATGTGCCGCATGCGATCCACGTGGCGGGCACGTGGTGGAACCCATGGCTCGGTGGCGCCGGCGGGGGGAGGTCCTGGCGGCGCAGGCGCCGTGTCCTTCGGAGGAGGAGTGTCGTCCGCATTCGTCTGACAAATGGTACGACAATTGCTACAAGCTGTGGTGGCACTTCGCCACCGCCTGCCAGAATCGGAATCACGGCCAGAATCTCCTGCGACCACAGCGTCAAACCTGGAGTGACGGTAGGGCGCCAGTTCTGATGGGCTGGAGATTGGCCCAGGTCACTGGGACTCACCATTTGTGAGTATCTAAGGTCAGGCTAGTATTATGTGTGGATTTCCTGAAACCTTTCTATGTCATAAATGTGCCAGAATACATCCTTATTCCAATTAGTCCTGATTTAGGATCTATTTTGACTTTATTAATTATTATTATCATTTATTTTTGTTTACTTTCAGCATAGGTATTATTCCCACGCTGGTTATACAGATTTTATAAGGATAGAAATATAAGTATCTTAAAATATATTCCTTTACTATTTTATATCCCTTTAAAAATATATCTTAAAATATATCCCTTTACTCAGTTCACTTTGTTTTTATGCATGAGATAAGATTGTTCTCTAGAAATATCCTAAGTTACTTCCAAGACTTTATCAGTAGCAAGCATTTATGATTTTAAAAATATGTCTTCATCCTCTTAACATAAAAAAGCCTACACAGAGAGAATTCTGATGTTCTCATCTGAGTTGAAAATGTTCTTAAAAATATAACGAACATTGTAAAGGTGAAAATGTTTTCATTGTTTTTGAATCAAGTTGAATTGGCAATATTTACATTTTATATCAAATTAGTCTATACTTATTAAAAAGTTGAAAAAAAAAACTCAATTTAACTTTTCTCTTCTCATCATTTCGTTCTAGTATTGAGAACATTGATACCAAAAGAACGAATGTTCTCAATTCAAGAACAATGTACCTGAATAATTATCTTTGTGTAAGTAGAAGCGTATTTTAAATTGGTTATACAAATTTTTTTCATTTTTTTTAAAATGTAACAAAACTATTAAACATATCTCAGATGTATTTATTAAAAGAAGTATAATATAATCATAATAATCATATTCTATCTTTATATCTTATTCAGTTTTAAAATAACATACAACAACTGAATATCTGATAAAATAGTAAGTTTAAGAATAAACAAAAGTCCTGATTCCCGACCATTTATTTGTTAACCAACCTCTGTAGTTAAATCTCTGATGTGTGTATATTTTGTACAAATATGTATGAATCATTTTCGGTTTTCGCATATTCATGGCCAATTACTTTTACGCGAGGTCCTCATAAGTTGTCCGTTTCGAACTGGCCTCCAGCTGACATTCGGTGGTTGATCAACCGCCCAACCTCACACCAACCAATTTCCCTCGAAAGGAGCAACTTTCCCGGCGATGGGCGGAAAAAGTTTCGAATTGCATTCTGCATTCTGTCAGATAAGCAGGCGACACAATCCCAATCGAAATCCCAATTGACATAATTTTCAATACTTCAATGTCGGGAAAATAGGAAGATTGCTCTGGAATTTAATTGAACTTTAACTGTCAGTTCTTTGGGTCCTTGGAGGCATCGCAAATTCCTTGGCCAGGATGTGACAGGACCGAAAGTCAGGGCTGTCAAAGCTGCCACAAAATGGCTTAATTATCCAATAGACGCTAGATTCTGGATGTCAGCGGATGCCAGTCATCTTAAATTGTGGATAGTGCCTTCAACTTTTCCGCTAAATAACTCAATTACGCCGCCGACTTTTCCTGATGAGTTGGGGGATTTTCGCTAAGGCATAATTATGCCATTATGCAATTTTTACCACCCGATCCGCTTAAATGAATTGCAGCTGCTCCGCCATCAGCTGAAATGCGCTGCAACAAATCAAAGTGCGATTCCTTGAATGCCACGACGAAAACTTTTCGGCAATTATCCGCAGGAAAAGCGGAGAAAAACGAAGAAAATCGGGCCAAGTGTGAGGAAAAAGTTGGTGAAGCGGATTTAGTTAAATCAGAACCACTAGAAAGCTTTGAAGATGATCCGAATTTTCTTTTCTCAAGTGACATTTTAATGAGAATGTTTTTATATATTTCTTTTATATTCTCATTTTTATTATATTACTTAATAAAAAGAGCTTATAGGATTTAATGTGATTTAATTAAGAATATTAAAAATCATTTGTGATCTTTAAAATTTTAACACTAAATGTGATTACGGAAAATAATATAATATTACCTCTAGGACATTAGAGGTTTTCTTCAGGTCAATGTCTATTTAAGTTGAAGACTTTTAAGATCTCAGTTCCTAAACCCCAATTTCATTTCGGGATTATTAACACCTTTACAATGGGGCACAAATAAGTCCTCGCCAACACACATGGTTAACTAATCCTGCTCTTTTTCCTCCACTTTTCCAAGAAAACTTCTGGGACAACGAAGAAACCAAAACCAAAACTTTTGTTTCTAAAACTCGTGTTCCAAGTACCCCACACAAAAGGGAAAATTCTGGGCGAAGATGGGGCCAGGTGTGTGTGAATTTTGAATTTGAAAACCCCCCTTTTCGTCCTTGTCTGGCAGACACCTGCTGGAGCTGTAATAAGTATGCAGCGACTACAATATCCTGGTATATCCTGGAAGTGAATGAGTGAAGGCATATACATTGGCTGCGGGTATACCTTATAATTGTATATTTACAATAAAGAAGGTTTTTGGTATACATTTCGTATATATTTTAGATAAAACAATATTCCTTTCTACATAATCGTTTACATTGGGTTAATTTCCTTTTTAAAGTATCCTTGAAATTTATATATATATAAGGCCAAACAAATAAAATAAACGGTATTTCCATAGCCCCAAAAAAGGACCTGAAAAATCCAGCTTTTTCTTTGGTTGTTAGGTGTTAAAGCGGGCGAAAGTTGGAGGCCATGTAGACAAGGACGAATGGGGGTGGCAGGACGATGAAGGGAGGACGAAGGCGGCAGAAAGCAGCTGCATGTGTCGCGTACGTGTGCGACAACAATGGCAAAAACAACACTGCGAACAAGCGACAACAGTGTGACCAAATGTGCATGTGAGTAGATGTTGCTGCGTAGGTGTGACTGTGTCCTGTGTAAATCGCACATTTCAATTTGCATGTGTTAGCGACAAACTTTTGATAAGTGTTACTCGCATTACACAAAGGGAAGGAAAAGGAGAGCAGATCCACAAACTTATTGTCAAACACGAACAGGAACCATCACTCCCACACCCATGCATATGCAAATTCAGTTGCCATACACAAACACACATATCAATATTTTTCAGACACTACGTGCTCGTTGAATTTCGCACACCTCGGGATCGATGGATAATGAAATGGCACATGGTATTGGGTATATTATGACAAAAAATGTCAAATTATCGGCGAAATTGGTTTCGCTGCCGAACAAATAAAAACAAATTCAGGGAAGGATATAAAGTCAAGGTTGGTCAATAACCCCCTGCGGTTTGTAAGATGTATGAGGTAAACAGTTTGTACAGGACTTAAAACGGTCTTTATTATGTATTTTCAATTAATTTGATGCTCCAGTATTTTACTTACTGCTTTATACTTTCTTGATTCACATACTACACATTTTGAATACATTTTCTTGCTCTAATTTTAATAAATCAATTGGGAGCAAATTGATAAATTGGTGGCACAAAGCTCGCTTAGTTTGGCCCACATATGGGGTCACATGCGGATGCGCTCCTTTTTTTTCCCAGACCATTTTCCATTTTCCTCCGCTCGTTGAACGTTGATGAGTGCTCCGTTTATCTGGCATCCATATTCCCATGTTAACTGTCGCCTTTAGCGCCGAAAAGCTGGAAAAGTGGGCGGTACTAAAGGCTACATGTGAGTGTGGGTCCTTACAGAATTATGAACATATCCTGTGAATTGAAGAACGTCATCAGGGCAGACAAAAGGCAAAACAAATTGAGAGCACAGCATATGCTCCCCATCGGCCCTCTGAAAATTCTCAACAATCTGTGGTCTGTTTAGCTTTATTTTACACAATATATCGAGATAAATTTAAAAAAATAAAAAACTATTAATTATCTACTTATTTTGTAATACAGAATCTGAAATTACCATGAAATTTGTTTTTTAAATAAATATAAATGAAAGTTATTCACCTGGGGAACATATCTAAGCTCATATTTACAAGATAGTTTTAATAAACCTATAGTTCCGGTGAAATCTAAATGTTTTCTGCGGTTTATTAAGGGCATCCTAGCTTTTTTGCTCCAGGGACCGGCAACACTGTTGGCCACATTTTTAGGTGCACCATAAAAACTACACCCACCGACGTGTTATCTCTCGGCTGTGCGTCATTTCACAAGAAGAAGCAGCAGGGGCAGACCGCAACAAAACAAAATCTGACAATAAGTGTGAAAATGCCGCCCCTTTCCACCATTTTCCACTCCACTCTCAGCCATGCAAAACTAAAAGAAAAATGTTTAAATATTTCCTGC